ATAACTTGATAAAGAAAAATATGAACGAAATCATTAAAATAAAAAATTATTAAACTAGATTTTTTTTTTTTTTAGAAAATTAAAAATGTAAAATTGAATGAAAATTAAGTAATTAACATAATTTTTTTTTATTTTATTATTAATAATAAATCTAACAGTAAAAAAATAAAATAGTATATATATTAAATATTTTATTTTATATCAATAATTTTCTTTTCTTTTTTTATATTCTTCTTTTATTATAATTATTTTAAAATTTATTTATTTAAAAAAAAAAAAAATTCTTAAGTCTTTCCAAGATTAAGAAATTCTTAATATTTAGAGATTTTTTCCTAATTAATATTTTAAATTTTAGTAAGATTTTAAAGTAATACATGATAATATTTTAAAAATAATAAATATATTATTAAAAAGCAGATATTTTTAATAAAAATAAAAATTAAAAAATAATCTAAATATTCTATAATACATAAATGATTAAAATATTACTGGAATCGATGATTAAAAAAACGATTTGTAAATAACAAATATAAACAATATAATAAGTATTTTTATAATTTAAATTTCTTTGTTAATTGATCCTTAAATTTTACAAGAAATAATTATTTTCTTAATCTTATTTCAAAAAACCTTAAATTTATATGGATGGGATTATTGTTAAAGTCCAATAAAAAATTAAACGAAAGAATTTTAAAATAAAAAATAAAATTAAAAAATCAATAAGTAAGTAAAATGTAAACAAAAAATAAAAATACAATAGAAAATAGAAAAGTAAGAAAAATAAGAAAAAAATTAAGATTACAATTTGAATAAAGATATTTATAAAAATAATAATTAATAATAAGAAGAAATTTATGAGTAAAATTAATTTTTTTCAAATTCTAATAAAATTATATAAGAATTAAGTTTTAATTCTGAATTTTGTGAAGTTAATAGTGGAATTTATATATTTTAATTATCAAATATCTTTATTACAGAAATTTTTCCTTCATATTATAAATAAAGCCTTTAAAATTAATCGAAATTAAATTTTATTAGTTTAACAGACGAAGGGCTGAAAAATTCTTGCTTTATAATGTATTTTTTTGTAAATTGGATGTTCCAAAATAAATTTTCAGCTGCAAAAATAGATATATGTAATAATTAAGAAACAAAAAATTTAAAAAATGAAGAACAAAATATTGAAAATTATAGAAAAAATTTTAATAATATAAATGAAAATTAAAAAATATATGAAATTAATAGTTTTGCTAATAAATAAAATAATCAAAATTATTATATTAATAGAGATTAAAAAAATTATTAATAAAACTTCCTTTATAATTATGATTATAGCAAGAATTTATATAATTTTAATTTATAAAATAATAGAAATAATAAATGAAATTAATTTTATTGTAAATTTTTAATTTATTATTAAAATAAAAAAAAATATATAAAAAAATATTTAAAAAATTTGATAAATTTATAATTAAAAACATATAAAAATAAATAAAATATTATATATATATATATAAATATATATAAATATATATATATATTTTATTACTTTTATTTTTATTTTTTTTATGAAATTAAATTATTATCATAAATTTTTTTTTTTTATATTTTTCAATATTTTTATTTGAATTAGTTTTATTTAATATTTTAAATTTTTATATATAATATTTAAATCTATTTTTTAAAATTCTTATTAACAAAAAAATGATTGAGTAAAAATATTTAATTAATTTATTATACTTAAATTAATATATAAATTTGAATTTTATAATAATAACATAACAATATAAATATTCAATAATTATTATGTAAAAATTTTCATAATATGATATTTTTTAATTACAATTATTTTTAATCGATAAAAATAATTATTCTTTTTTTTATATAAAAAATATCAAATGTACTAATGTTTATTTTAAACTTATTTTTTTTTATTTTATAATATATATTTTTTAATTTTTGTTTATCATATATATTATTTTAAACTCATTTATAAATTAAATTTCAAATTAATCATAGATTTAATTTTTAAAATTTTAGTTTTAAAGAAATATAAAAAAATAAAAGTAAACAAACCAAAAATACTTAAAGAATTTAAATAAATTTAATTATTTTATAATAAATTACAAAATATTTACTTTTACTAAATAATAATAACTTATAAAAGAAAAAAGAACAAAAAAGAAAATAATAAAGAAAAATAAAAAGAAAAAAAATGTTCATAAAAAATCCTAATACATACTTTGTTATTTTATTTTTAATAACATTAATAATCCATTATACATACTCCCAAAAAGTAAATTCAAACATTTAAATTGAATATATAGCTAATAACTAAAGCCAAATAATATACAAATAAGGAATTTTAGATTCATAATTTGATAAAAGTACATGGCATCATTTTTGTTGTTAAAGCCCTAATTTATACTATCATATACATAATTCAAACCATTAATACTAAACAAATATTCTGATAAAAAATACTGAATTATAAAATGATATTTTCTTAACAAAAATAGAAATAAGTACTAAATATACTACAGAACTAAAACCGTAAATAATATAATAATTTCCACAGAAAATCGCCAAAAATTCATAACTAACCCTTAATTTAAACGAAAACTGTCAAAAACCTTCTAAAAATGAAAATTATTGGACATTTGTTTAAATAATTTTTTTTTTTTAAGATTACGACGAAATAAAAATGAATTATTTTCTTGTCTGTGACGAAAAATACCGTCCAGTAAAATATGATTGGTCTTTGACAATTTTAATTATATTTCTTTCGACTTTAGTATTGATTTTAGCCCAATATTCAAAGCCTTAATTGTTAAAAATAAATAGATTTTCTGAAGGTATTATACTACAATACTATCACGCTTTTTTCTATTCACTTTTTGTTTTTTTAGTCTTAATAGTAAATAATTGGCTTTAATCTTAAGTTTATATAATGATTTTATCCTATATAGGATTCTTTATTTATAGTGTTTTGAGTATTTATTATTTGAACGAAATTTAATATTAAATTAAATCTGATTTTTTAAATAAGAGTATTTTTTCATTTAAAATTTATGACTTTTAAATTATGGATTTAGTAAGTATTGCTTTAATGGCTAGTTTATCACTTCTTGTCTAATTTTATCATAAACCATGGTTTGTAAACGATTTAATTTCAATTCTAATAATCGGTTCTTTAATGAAATTATTTAAATTTAAATAAATGAGAAGTGCTTATTTATTCCTATTTATTTGTATTGCATCAGATTGTACAGCGGGTGCAATATTTCATTACACAAATAGTTAAAGCTATGATACTATAATAATCAATAAATATAATTCGCCGGCTTTATTTTAATTAAAAACTTTAAATACTTCTATTTTATTTAAATAATGTGCCTGGTTAGCTGTTACGGATGTTGCTTTTCCGGGAGTCTTTATAAATTTATGCTATAGATTTGATAAACACAGGAGAGATGTTAATACTAGAGTTTACCTATATTCTGCCTGTATTGGATATGCATTTGGAGCTTTCATGTATATGATTTAAACTACCTTTAATGCACATACTTTTCCTTTTTCAGCCTTTAATTATACCTCTATAGGACTGTTTATCGCATTTATGTCTTATTATAGAAGAGATTTTACAACTTTATGGAATGGAACTTTTTATGAAATGGCAAATGATAATAAATTAAAAGAATAGATAATTTAAAGTTCGAATATTAAAGATAATAATGATTAGGAATATTTCGAAGATATTAAATTCGAAGGAAGTATTAGAGAGTCTTTTTAAGAAGAAGAGAATATAAAAAATTATATTAATATATAAAATAATAGTACATATTAATTTAATAGTATTAATAAATGAAATAAATATTTGAAATATTTAATTTGATTTAATTAAAAGAAATAAAATAAAAAAAAATATAATCTTATACATATATAAGACTTTTATTAAAAAATATTTATTTTTATTTTATTTTGTTCTAAAAAAAAAAAGAGTTGTATTTATAATAAATATATAACAAAAATGATTTATAAAAATTTAAATAAAAAACAATAATGTTTAATGAAATAAAGAAAATAAATAAATATATATAATTTTAATATATTTATATATAAAATATTTAATTTCATTTATCTATTTTTTTTTTAAATAAAAATAAATCCTATTCATTTTTTTTTAGCAGTTTTTCTATTGCTTTTGCTTCCTTTAATTTCAACTTTTTAGAATTCTATATAAAACAAGCAAAAATTAATACGAATATAATTAATTAAATAAAATACATGTTGGAATGGCATCCTTAATACCCTTTACAATTTTTTAATCACCTGTTTTGAAGGTATATAAGTATTTTTTGCCTCTAAGTTTAAATTTTGTAATTTTTTTTCCATACTTAATATAAACAACTATTTTATTTTTTTTTAACAAAAAAATTAAATAATTTTTTAGTAAAAAAAAAATATGATATATTATTAACCTTTCTTAGTTCCAGTATTTTAAGCTTCTTTGTTATTTTACCAAAGCTTCATAAATTTTTTAATGTCAGTAACTTCTTTAGGCTTTTTATTTTTAGAGTATAATATGAGTGTAATTTATATTTTTTACCATTTTTATTTCTTGTTGAATTTATTATATATATTTATTTATTTATATATTATCTTTATTATTTATATGTTATTATTATTTATATATTTAATAATTATTTTATATCTTTTTTTTATATTATTTTTATATTCAAAAAAAAAAAAAAAAAATTTAAAAATATAAATAAAAATAAAAATTAATAGAGCCACATTAAATTAATTATATAAATTAAAAAATAAAAAAAATGTTTTATATAAAAATAAATAAAAAAAAAATTATATTTTTTTTAAAAAAAAATAGATAAATAACGAGAAAAATGAAAATAATAAAAAATTTAAAATAAAATATTTATTTATTAAAATAATTTTTTGCTTATTAAAATATAAAATAAAAAAATTAAAATTATATATTATCAATTAAGTAAATTATAAAAAAAACTAATTATATCAAAAAAATTATTATTGTCAAATTATAAAAAAAATAAAAAAATAATTATATTAATATATATATATATATATATTTGTATATATATTTATATATTTCTTCATATATAAAATTCATATAAAAGCTGTTCTTTTAATATTTTGATTTTAACTTTTTTTCATTAGATTATATTTATCAAAATGACTCTTTAAAGTATAAGTTCCTGGGCCTGGATTATATCTTTAACTACATTTTGTAAAGTCATATTTATCCCCTTTCCCAAATGATATTTACGAAAACCTCAGATTTTCTTCTAATTTAAAAAGAGGATTATAATGATTACTAGCAGGCTAATTTTCTTACTAAGTTCTTTCTTTTATTTTTCCATATAAAGAATATTTAAGTTTATCTTTTCCTGGCCCTTAAATAACTTCATATTACCCAACACCAGGTAATTCTCTAGCAAATTCAACTGTCTGAAGATTATTTTTAGGTATATAAGTTTTATTATAGAACTTATAAGGTATTCCAAAAGTTTTTCCCATTTTTGTATTTACTTATGTTTTTATTCTTTAATAATGATTTGGAGAAGGATAATCTCTTGCATTTTTGAGTACATTTTACGGATATAAATATTTCGTCCCAAATCCAAATGTGCAAGTTTTTTTCGTTATTGTAGGAGGCAAGTTTATATTTTAAGAAGCTTAAGCTTCTGATATTTTATTTTATGGGAACCTCTCTGCTTTAGAAAATGTAGTATATAATGAAGCATGTCTTAAAGAACTTGAACCTATATATTATGACATACCCATACCTTATGGGCAGGCAAATAAATTTGAAGAATTATAATCAGGTGATTATGATAATTAGTAGAAATTTTGATTTGATTTATGATCAGCGCCTCTTATTTATTTCAATTTTCTTAGATTTTCATTTGTTTCTTCTCTTTATTATTAATATTACATGTTATTTTTTTATGTTTTTGTGCTTTTTTTATTATTTTTAAGTTTATTATTTGTTAAATGTCTTTTTTCTTTGCTAGTTATTCTATTTTTTAAATTTTTTTTAATTAATATTATAAGTTGATTCTTTTTTTTTTAATACTAGAGTTGTTTTTTGTTGAAACTTTTTTTTTTTTTTTTTAGTGTTTTTAATTTATTGTTTATTATTGTTTTTAATTGATTTTTTAATTTTATTTATATATTTCTTTATTATTCAACATTATTAAGTTATGTTAATAAATAAAAATTAATATATTATTTGTATTTTAATTTATAATAAATTAGTTACATATTATTATCTTTGTTATTTATGATTATAATTATAATTTTTTTATTTGAAATAATATTTTAGTTTTTTTTTAGATAATACAAAATGTTAAAAATATAATTTTTTATTTTTTTAATTAATTTTTCGTTATTATGTTCTTAATTTTACAATAGAATTATAAATTATTTATTTAATAAAAATAAAATTAAAAATATTAGTAAAATAAAAATAAAAAATTATTAATATAAATAATATAAAAGTGTATTTTTAATTTTTAGAATATATTAAATAAAATATTAATAAGAAAAAAACAAAAAAATGAAATATATTTATATAAATAAAAATAATAAACTTTAAATATATATAATAGTTATTTTTAAAATAATTATAATAAAATTAATACAATTTATATATTACTTTAATATTTACATATATATATATATAAATAATAATAGTATTATTTAATTGAATTTATTATGTAAATAAATTCTTTTAGAAAAATAAGCATTTACTATAAGTTATTATTAATTAATATTTTTACAGTTATTTTCATTGTTATTTAGTTTATTTTTATATATTAATAGATTAATTAATTAAATTTTAAGTATTTTCATATATTTTATTTATTTTTTTATTATTTTATAAAATTTACTATTTCAAGATATTCTAATCTGTCTAAACTTTTTTAAGTTTTGATTTAAAATCGACTAAAAATTAATTTTTATAACCAAAGCTGGTAATACTTTTCACATTGTTTTTATTTATAGAGAATATTTTTTATATTTAATTAAAATTCTAAACTGAAGAATTATTATTGTATTTTTATAAATTTACATTCGAATTATTATTATCATCATTTTTCATAATACCTGGTTTATAAAACGCAAAAGAATTTTAAGATTTATTATTTTAATCAATTGTACTTAAATTATTTATTTTATAGTTTCTTAGAGAATTTTTAACCTGAAAAAAGGCTAAATTTTATTTCAAAACATTACTATAATTAATATTATTTTATTGATTTTTTTAATTATTATTAGACTTAGATTTAAGAAAAGAATGTTTATTATTAATATTAAGAATTTCTTATTTCTCTTCTTCTTATTTACTGATTATTTCAAAAATCGAAATTAAAGATTTGACACAATTTTCATTTCCTTTTTTATATTGTTATTATTATTATAAATTATTATTAAATTCAACTTTTATTAAATTCTCAAAATTCTAAAATAAAAATTAGGCTTCTTAGTGATTTTAATTTTCATAAATTTTTGAATTCTATTCATTTATTTAAAAGTCCTTAAAGCGTTTTTTCACCTATGAAATTTTATCACTTGATTATTATTTAGATTGACCAGATTCAGTAGTTTATGGAGATGAATAATCATTCAAACATTTTTTTTATTATTAATGTTTCTTATTTATTATTTTTGAGTATTTTTTTATTGTATCATCTTACGCTATGTTTATTTTTTTACTATTATCTATATTAATATTTGTATTTTCAATTAGATAAGCTGTGTTTCTGATTTCATTTCTTTTTGGAATTCTTTAGTTTAGTTGATTTTTTTTATAGTTTTTTATTTCTATATAAGGATTTTTTGGTATCATATTTGGATTATTGGCTGTAGAACACCTTTAGGCCTTGGGCTTTAAAGATTAAGATATTATTTAGTATTTTTATAAATCAAAAATCATTTTATTTTATAGTTTATTATTAATTATATATTTTTAATTATTTCTTTTAATTTTTTAATGTTTGTTTAATTATTATATTATATTAATTTATAATATTTTTTTAAAAAAAAAATTTTTCGTGTTTTAGTTTAATTTATTTTTTAAAAATTATAAATAATTGAAATTCAATTTATATAATAATATTGAAATTAATAATTTATAATATATTAATGTATTATTTTTTACATATTTTAATTTTCTTATATTCATTACACTAAAATTTATTTCTTTAAAATAGTATTGTATTCTTATTAATAAAAATTTATAATTAATTTTTTTATATATACTATTTAAAAGTTAACATTATAATTATTTATTTATTTATATAAATACCCCGCATATTTTTAATTTAAATTCAAAAATATTTAAAATTAAAAAAGGTACATACATTAATATAATTAAAAAATAATAAATAAATATTTCAAAAAACTTTATTAAATATTATGTTAATAAAAATAAAATTATTATTTAAATATAAATTATATAATTTAACTAACATAGAAAATTAAAACATATTTTTTTTTTTTAAAAAAAAAATAATAATAGAATTATAAATTATAGTTTCAATAAAAATATATTAATTACATTAAAACAATAGTAATTTAATTAATAAAATAATTAAAATATAAATAATCATGAAAATTCTAATTTTTTTTATTATTTATACACTTAGAGATAATCATTATTAGTATTAAATTCTAATTAATTATCATGATTATTAAAATAATTATTCATTATAGAATATCTATTATAATTAATTTGCATTTAACTATTTTTCTAATAACTATTATCTTAATAAACTATAGATTATTTTTATAAAACCTAATCCTAATTTAATGTGAAATAATCATCATAAGAAGTTTTAATAATAGGATTTTATTATTAAGGACTTAAATATTAAGGAATAAAAGGAACTTTAATATTTTATTGTAAGTTTTAATTTTTATCATTTTCAATTTATTTTTAAGGAGAATTTACACAAAGAGTATTTGCTCTTGCATTTCTTAAAATTCTAAAATATTAATTGTTATCGTCTTTGAAACTATTTTATCTTAAAAGATTTTATTGTTTTATATATTATAAATCTTCTTCAGTATTATAATTTTAAACTATGAAATTATTATTATTAATATTTTTGTAAAAAATAGATTTATTTTATAGTTGATTTTTTTGAGATTATTCATTATTTTTATCGTGTTTAAAATCAAACGGAAATGGGTTTGAGTTTGATTATTATCTATTATTAATAGGCGTCTAGAATTCGTTTCTTTTATTATTTTCAAGAGAAATATTTTTATTTTAAAACATAAAACTTTAAAAGAATTAATCTTTATTATTATTTTATAAATTAGTATTATTTTTTATTAAATTAATATTTTTACTTTATAAATATTCATCATTATTATTAATAACTTAATTATTATTTTATTAATTTCCATTATTCTTATTATTTTAAGAATTTCCATTACTATTGATATTAGTTGAATTTCCGTTATTGTTATATTAATTACTGATTAAGTTTTAATTATAATTTATTGTTAGAGGAGATCTAGAAAATTAATTTTCGCTATTTTTTCTCGAAGCCTACACTTAATTAAATATCCACTAGCATATATTTTTTAATTCATTTTATGTTCTTTCTGCATTATGATCCCCATCAACATACTCAATCCATTTTTATCCATTATATCTATTATATAATTACTCAGCATGTTAACAATCTACAAAAGTATCTTCTTTTGAGCAAACGAAAAAATAGGCAAATAAATATCATGAATAATATTAATTAAATTTAAAGATTTTATATCCAGTCCACATTTTTCTTTTATTTAATTAGAAACAAATGAAAGTACTGTATCTAATAAAATACCCGGAATTCCTGTTTTTTGCTTTGCTAAATGAAGAGCTAAGAATTCTAAATTAGCAAATCCACTATCAAATACGACACACTTTATATTTTTTAATTATTTTGATCTACTTAAATATAATATACAACTAACTGCTCCCATACTTATATTATATTTTTATATAATAAAAAATATGTATATATATATATTTATATATATATATATTTATATATATATTTATTTATATATATTATTTATTATATTTTATTTATTTAATAAAAATTTATTGAATTAATTATATATATTTTTATACCTTCTTCCCCATAAAATAATATTTTTAATTTTATTTTATTAGCATAAATAATCTATTACACATTCCAAATCTTAACTTTCGTTTTTCCTAATGTTACATATTATCCATCTGATAAACCGCTTCCTGTAAAATCAAAACAAAATACGCCAATTCTTTTTGGAATTAAAAATGAAAGTAAGTTTAATGCTTCTAATCTTGAACCATTATTGCAATGACAATATATTACACACGAATACTTTTCTTATATTTGATCTTCGTTTTTTTAGAAGTTTTATAATGGTTCGAATAAAGAACATTATAATTTTTACTAATTTTTATTATATAATACTATGTCTTTTCTTCTTGATTTATAATCTTCAAAAAGTTGAATTTCTGAGCCTAAATCCAACTCATTATATATTAGTCTTTCAGGCCTTATAAATGCCTTCCAAAATGATTTGAATTATGTTATCATTTGATATTATTTTTCTGAATTTTAATTTCTTTTTTATAGATTAGTTTTTTTATTTTTATTTTTGGTGAAATTTAATTGGCTTTTTTTATAAATATATATTTTATATGCTTTTTTAATTTTAATATTAAATAATGTTTTTTATTTACAAAAAAAATTAATTATAAAATTTTAAGTAAAATGAATATAAAATACATTTATATTAAAAAAATATAATAAACTGGATTTTAAGTATTAATTTTTTTATAAAAAAATAAAGATTAATATATTCTTTTAAATATCTTAAAAACTTAATTTCTTTAACTGTAATATTTTAAAATAATAAATATTTATTTTTATAAATTTTTATTTTGTTATATAGACATTTTTATTTTTAACTTTATTTATATTAAATTTCTTTTTTCTATACTAATTTTTTTTAATTAGGTTAAAAATTTTATTTTATTATTAATTGATAATTTTTAAAATAATTAACTTATTTCACATTAATTTATTAATAAATATTTTCTTATTTATTTCTTAGGTTTCTTTTTATTATAATTTAATTTTCATTAAATTAAATTTATTTATTTATCAATTATAATTTATCCTGTAAAGATGAAAACTACATAAAATATGTAGATTAAGTAAGCATTTTTTTATATATATTATTTAATATAAATTATTAGATAAAAATTAATATAAAAATTAAGTTAGTAATTTTTATACGTTGATAAATATAATATTTATTTATATTTAATTATAAGTTGGCTTTATATTTTATAAATTTTCTTTGTCAACATAAATAATTTTATATAATTGTGTTATTAATATTTATTTATTTATTTATTTGTTTAAAAGAGAAATATAAAAATTAAAAAGTGGTTCTTTACTAAAAGCCTTAAATAATATATATGTATTTAATTTATTTATATATTATTAATATTTAATTAATTTTTTGTAATTTATTTTAATTTTAATTATTAAAAGTTAAGCTATATATAATATTTACATTTTTTTAAATATTAAATTTAATTTTTAATTTTAATTTATTTTTTCGATTTTTTATAAAGATATATTGATATAATTTAAATGTATATGATTTAGTCTTTTAATACGCAATATTATTTTTTTAATACAAAAAAACATAACTTTAAGATAAATAAACTTTTTATTCTTAAGTATTTTTATTTTTAGCTTTTAGATTATTCAATTTTATTTCTCATTTTTTAAATGTCTATAATTTATTTTTATATTTCAATATATGCAATTGTTAACTAATATAATAATAAACAGTTTTTATGATTTTAAAATTGATAAATATTTATTCTTTTTTATTAATTATACTATTCCATTCATTTTTTTAAATTTTCTTTATTGTTAATTAAATAATAATTATATATATTTTTATTAATTTCTAATTTGATTTTAAATATCTTATAAATTTTTCATTATTAAAAGTAAAAATATTTACTTATAAATATTAAAAAGGGTATTTTTTAATATTTTGCTTATTTTTAGAGTATTATTCCACATTATTTTAAAAATATAACAATTTTATGAATATTGACAATTAATAGTTTGTTTTCAATTTATTTTATTTAAATATTTTAGATTTTTTTTTTAAAAAAAAATACAAAAGTAATACTATTATAATTATATTATATTAGAATTGTATATTTGAATATTTGATAGATTATTAAACAATCAAATAATTTAGATTTTTATAAAATAATTAAATGCTTAATAAATTAAATTATAATTAATTAATTTTATACCTTTTTAAAAAATTAGTCACCAAAATAATCTATGTATATAGTTATATTCGCTCATTATTTGCTTTAGAATTATAAAGAGTATAAACATTCTAAACTTATTTTATATATATTTATATATAAATTTAATAATTTTATATTTACAATAAATAATTATTTTGATTATATAAATTTTGCCATTAATTTTAAGATAATTAATTTAAATTTAATACATAACAAAAAAAAACATATATATAAAAAATACATATATAAATAACAATATTAAAATATTAAATTTAGCAAATATAATTTTATATTTATACAGATTCTTTAATAATTTTTATTATAATAAATTCTTATTAATATTAAGTAAATTTTATAAGCTACAAAAAAAAAAAAAAAATGGGATCATGTTGTGGGTATTTTAAACTAGAAAACAGCAAAACAATATATTCCAATAATTAGGAAAGAGAAATATAAAATTGTAAAGAATAATTGAATATTGAAAAAAGCTTATAAAAAATAGTATTAGATGAATCTGATAACCATTTTCTTAAAAATAATTAATCAAATAATAATGCATAAAATGATATATCAATAATAAAAAATCATGATACAGAATGTCAATAAATAGAAATAAATAAAAAAGAAATTTCTTATAATTGTGATATTGAAATGGTATTTTTTTTTTATAAAAAAAATATAAATTTTTAAAAAGTTTTTTATAAAAAACAAAAACAAAAATAAAATATTGATAAAATTAAATAAAATAATAACATAAAAAATTATTTTTTATTTTCTTAAAAAACTTTTGTTCAATTTTTAAACTTTATTAAACAATTTTAATTTGAACATTTTAACAAAAATGTAAGTTTTTTTTTTTTTTTTTTTCATTATAAATATTATTTTTTTAAATAATATTAAAATTATTTATTTTAAATTTTTTATTTTTATAAGGAATTATAATCTAAAAGCAATTAAGAATTTGTAGATGATAAAGAAAACAAATAAATTATATAAGATATCTAATTAGAATTACAAATAAAGGAAGAATAGTTGGAATCAGAATTAAAATAAAATATTAAAGTAGAATAATAAATAGAAAAAAAAAATCATTAGGAAACATTTCTGATATAAAATTAGAAGAATAAAAATAAGAAGAGGAAGAAGAAATAAAAAATTCAAATAATCTAATAAAAATATAAAACATATAACTTATTAATAATTCAAATTATGAAAATAGCATTAATAATATCTAAATAAATGTTAGTTCTCCTAAAAAAAAGAAAAAGAAAAATTCGTAATTAGATAATATTAAGTTTAGTTGCGAAAGCCCTACTAGATCAATAATTAAAAAAAAAATAATAGTGATTTATAATAGTTTGGATCAGATATGGATAGTCAGAAAAGTATAAAATCTTAAAAATAAGTCAAATTTAAGGATAGTACATTTAAATAAGGAAATAAAAAAATAAAATGAGTTTTAATTATTAATAAATTAGTATAAAGTATTTATAAATTTTTTGTTCATATTTAATTATATTTTAAATTTTTGTATTTTTTTTTTTCGATATAAGCTTACCATTTGCCATTATTTATATAACTAATACTTTATTAAATTAAAATAAATTTAAATTGTAAATATACGATTTTTAAAAATAATAATAAATATAAAATAATATTTAAAATTAAAAAAAATAATTTCATACTTTTTTTCAAATATATTATTATATACTTATATATAAATTTTATAAAAAAAATATACTCCTAAAACAAAAAATTTTAAAACAAAAATATAAAAATTATATAATAAATATTTATATATATTAAATATAAATAAATATTTATATAAAATTAATATTTATGTTTCTATATATTTAATCCCTATTTAATTTTTTTTTCACATAAAATCATCTTCATTAAAATTAGCTTTATAATTATAATCATCCTAAGAAGATTCATCAGAACCCCTTGCTTCTAAATTTTTAGCAATTTTATTTTTACTAGCAACTACAGTAGGTCCTTTAGCCTTAACTTTTTTTGGTCCAGTTTTTTCTTCTTTTTATTTTTTAGTTAATAATACATTTACTTTTGTTGAAATTGCTTAAAATTCTTTCGAAGTTAATTTATCATAAATTCCATCTAAAAAGCTTTCGAAAAATTTCTCCACATGAATTAAATAATAATCAGGGTCAGATAATTTATTTCCTAATAGTTAACCAAAAAGCTCGAATTCTTATATATTTTTTAGTTAAATATTATCCAAAGCTTATGCATGTTCACTTATTGCACCTTCAAAAAGATCCTTTATAGCTTATGAATTGTTCTTTTTTTCTAATAATTTTGTTTTGGTCTTAGAATTATCAGGTTAGTTGAATAAGTCATTAGATTATATCGTTTTTCCTGTAAATGCTTTTTTCTTTTCTTATTGGGTTTCATTTTTTCCTTCTTTTTATTATTATTATGGTTAAGCTGGTTTTTCCTCTTTTTTAGCAAACACTGCGTCTTCAACTTTTACAGGAACTTTTATCTCACTTACATCTACTTAATCTAAAGCTTCCCAATCTTCCATTTTTTTTTTTTTTTTTTATTTATATATATTTTTAGTTAAAAAAAAAAAAAAAAAAAAAAAATTATTAAAATTATATATAATCTTTATATTTTTTTTTAGCTTTAAAATAAATCTGTATATCTTTTAAATTTGTATTTTATATATATTTCTATTTTTATTGTAAATATTTATAATAATTGTTTTATTTCTTATATTTGCTTATTATTTTTCTATGTGTAAATTATACATATATTTTATATTATATTTCTCTATATTATTAGTTATCTTTTTTTTTTTTCAATGTTTTAAACTAAATTATATTTATTGATTATTTATTTTATTTTTTAATTAATAAAATTATTTTATATTATATATTCCTATATATAAAAATGCATATAATCATTAAATTATTTATTTGTAACATAAACAAAAAAATTATTTTTAATTTTTTTTTTTTTAAAATAAAATAAAAATTTAATTAATTACTTATACAAATTTATCCTATTATAAATTGATATTTATGAACAAAATATTGAAATTTATAAATATTTCTATTAAAATTTAATAATAATTAATTAAATTTATATTTTTATTTTTTATATAGAAAGTAAAAGACTACCAAAAAAAATAAAAAACATTAGCATTAATATAAATAAATTATATAATTAATTATTTTTAAATAAAAATGAATGAATATAATATAAATAATTAACAAATTAAAATAATTGATTAAATAAAAGAAATAAGAAAATAAAAGCAAAAAGTAATAATAGGAATAGTTGGTGTTCCTGGATCTGGTAAAACAACATTATGTAATTAATTATAAAATATAATGGGTTCTAAAATATGTTAGATAATACCTATGGATGGTTATCATTATTACAGAAATGAACTAAATCAAGATTAATTAAAAAGAAGAGGTGCCCCAGACACATTCAATAATGTAAAATTCAAAAATGATTTATAAAATTTTATTTATATAAATTAAAATGAAATGAAATTTCCATCTTTTGATCATAGTTTAAAAGATCCTATAGAAAATGATATTATTATAAGTAAAGATATATAAATAATTATTGTGGAAGGCTTGTATTTATTTATGGAAGATTGGGATTTGAATAACTTTTTGATTTAAAAATTTTCATATAATGTGAATAAGAAATTGCAGAAGAAAGACTTGCTTTAAGACATTTAGAAAGTGGAATTTGTGAAAATTTATAAAATGCAATTTAAAGGGTTTAATAATATGATAGAAAAAATGGAATTTTACTTTTAGAAAAATCAATATTTGATAATACTTTTACTTATAAATAAAGTTGACTTTTTTTTATTTTATATATATATATAATTAGTATGTGTTTTTTATCTAAATCTTTTTTAACTGTTGTTTATAATCTTTTTAATATATTAAACTAATTTTATTTTTATCTATATAAGATTTTGAAATAAAACTTTATATAATATTTAAAGACAATATTTATAGTAAGAGTAAACATATATCATATTTAATATTTATATTTTAATATATATTTTTAATATTATTATAATATATTTTTTGTAAATATATATATATATAATAAAAAGAGTATTTTTTAAAAAATATGAATTAAAAAGTAAATATATAAGTTATATTTAATTTTAATTCATTATATATAAATTTATATCATATAGAAATAAATAATATATTAATTCTTTTATTTAATGTAGATATATAAAACATCAAATAAGCTAATCTTTATATTTTTCATCGCTATTCATAGTCATATATTTTTTTAATACATCATTTTATTATTCAAATTAATTATTTAATTCTGTATTTTATACGAATTTCTATCTTTTAAATGTTGTATTTGATTAATATTATTTATTAAAATTAAAATCTTCATAGCAATCTAAAATCTATTCAGCTGTTTAGGGAATTCCTTTTTAACTAATATTTTTATATGGCTTTATGTCAGATTTGGAAGAAAAAACTCTATTTAAAATTTTAGTTTAAGGTTTTCTCTGCAAAAACTTTTTAGTAGAACTTTATTATTATTATTAGAAAAGAAGTTAGTTTGATAAAATTAATTATTATTATTATTATTATTATTATTATTTTTATTATTATTATTATTACTATTATTACTATTATTATTATTGTTTCTATTAATATTTATATTATTATTATTTTTATTATAATTATTGCTAACATTTATAAATTTATAGGCTTTTTGGATTTTAAATTTCATTTATAATTTCCATATTTTATAAAATATTATTTATTATAAAATTTTATTATTTATATATTTATATATCATTATTTTTAGAATTCATATCTACACTCTTTACTAAATTTATCTATGGTTGATTTAATATTTAAGGATTTATTTAATTTTATTCAGATTTAATGAATTTATTTGGTATAGATATATCATTTTTTCTATTCATAATTTAATTTTATTATTATTGAATACTATTTTCTTAATTAAAATTATAGAGATTTCTTTTTTTTTAATTATTTTAATTGTCTTAAATTTGATTTTTTTAAGGTGAATTTAAAGAATATATAGTAGGCACTTATATATTTTAAAACTAGGGTGTAAATTTTTAATTTTATTCATTTATTTTTTACAATTTTAAATTATTATATTCATTTAATTATTTAAAGTCTTGATATTCTTATTTATTTTAATTTTAAATATTATAATTATTTGAATTATTAATTAATTAATATTTTAATGATTATTATAAGCCCAAATTTAAAATTTATTAATGCTTGTTAGGACTCAAAAGTTAATTTTATTTATTTTCACTTAAACTATTTAAACTAATTTCTGTTGTATTTTCAATTGTATTATTTTATTCAATAAAATTTTTAATATTATTTCCTTAAGAAAATATTTATCTTCTATTTTTTAAATTTATTAATTATTCTGGAAATCTTTTTTTATAAAAGAATTATTTTAATATTTAAAAAAAAGAAGTTAAAATATATAAATTATAATAATTTATATATTTATATAAGATATAATATTTGATTTATATTATAATATATATATATATATAATATAAATTATTAATATATATATATTTTTTGTTTACTCTTTACACTATTTATTTTATAAATCGTTATTAACTATATTAATTTATGCATATTTAGCTAAATTTTTATTATTAATTTATTAATTTAATAATTTTTGTTATTATTATATTTATTATTAATACACATACAACGAATTTTATTAGTTTTATATATTATTTCCTAAAACCGGGAGTTTTTTGAATTCATCATTTTTATTATTATTTTATGTATGAAAGTTGAATGTACCATCAAATATAATTGAGTTTTTACTATTTTATATATCACTTTTATTCTTATCTTTTAGTTAATCAAAAGAATTATATTATTCATTTATATTTACTCTAAAAGATATTTATTTGTTTAAATTTAAATTTTTGGAGAAAAGTAATTTTAATCACCTATTAACTATTATTGACTTTCCTATGTATTTCCTGGTGTATTTATGGTATTTTATAAACATGACTAGTTTTTTATTAATTTATATTATTTTTTCTTTTCTTTAATTTTATGATTATATTTGATATTATTAAACATTAGCTTTATTTTCGGAGTCATTCTGGATGTTTTTTGGGATGTTTTCATTAAATAGTAATCTACCCGATTCACTTTTTTATCGAAATTGCATTGATCTTCTGAGTAAATTTTAAGAATTATCACTTTATTAAGGAGAATTTATTATATTTTTGTCTTGTAATAAATTATTATTTTCTTTTGGGAAGAAAAAATTTGCGGTTTATTGGGTCACATCATCTTAATAAGAATTACTTTGAGGATAAGCTAACTTATTTTATATCATATATTATAAATTTTATAATAATATTTATTTATTATTATTATTATTATTATTATTTTTTTTTTTGATTTATGTTGATTTTTTTTTTTATTATATATTTTAAAAATTTTTTTTTATTATTTATTTTTTCATTATTTCCTTTAATAATTGTTTTTATAATTTTTAACAAATTTTTTTTTAAAAAATATAAAAAAAATAAAAAAACTTTTTATTATATTAAGATACCTTATTTTATTTCTAATTTAACTTAATTCACCTAAAATTAAATAAATTTAATAAAATAATATTAAAGAAAATTTAAATTATTTTTTCCAAATTAATAATTTTATCAATTTATATAATTAAATTTATATTTTTAAAATTATAAAAAAATTATAAATAATACTAAATATAAATAATTTTATATATATATATATTAAGCAAATTATTAATGAGAAGTAGTATAAAATTATAATTTTATCAATTAATTGTTAGTTTGCATTATAATTTAAACTAAATAAATATTTTCAGTTTAAAATCATTTACGTTTAATTAGTATTAATATTTTTTTTGAAAATGTTTTGATACAAAAAGGTTATAATAATTATATTTAAAACATAAAAATATGTTTAAAATTAAATAATTTATTTTTAAATTATAAAATAAAATAAATATTAATTTTAATGCATTAGATTATTTATTTATAAATAAAAATAAAAATAAATATTAATTTTATTTTTATTTTAGTATGAATAAAATATAATTTATTATTATTAACGATAAATAAATAATTTATTAATTTTATATATCAATAAATATTAATTACTCTTTTTTGACTTTTAAATGGTATTGTAAGATTATCTCATTATGAAATTATTATAAAATATAAATAGTTTTTATAAATTTTTTTGATTTTACTAATTTTTAATAATTTTCTTTTTTAAAAATTACATACAAAAAAATTTGAAAATAATTAATTTTTATTATTCAATATTAAATGTAATTCTTTTTATTTATATTTGCATTTATTATTCTTAAAATAAAAAATTATATAAAAAAAAATATTAATTTAAATTAAATTTTGTTTACTAAAATAAATAATTTATATATATATATAAAGACATTAAAAAATTTAATTAAATACGTAATAAAAAATATTCGCATTAGATAGTAATAATTTTAATAAAATATTATTTATAGAAATATAAGCCAATTTTAAATTAATAATAAATAAGATTATATACATATAATTTAATGCTGATAAAATAATTATTAATAAATAGATTATTTAATATTTAAGTAGACTAAATAAAAAATTAATATATCGAAATAATTAATAATAGAAATAAGTAAAAATAATATTTATATAAGATAGAAACAATAAAAATAGTTATAAAATTAATTTAAAATAATAAAAATAAATATTTAAAAATAAAATAAAAATATTACAAAAAAATAGAAAATAATTAATTAAGTTCCTTTAATAAAGAAAAAACCATCCCTTTAATTTAAATAAAATAATACCTTAAAGAAAAGTAATAATATATTTTTTTATTGTCTAAATATAAGATATAATGTATAACCTATCATAACTACTATATAGTTATTGAAAGTTATACTGAATAAAAAGTGGGACTGGAATAGATACTCTAACTAACTACAAAGGTGTAAAATTTATACACGGAAACTTAATACAGATAAACTATAAATTCTTAAGATTTAATTAATTAATTGATATGTTCTACTTATCAAATTATAAAGAAATCATGAAAAAAGTAATTTATGTATGGGAACAGTATTAGCAGCAAATTTGAATCGCTAAATAATCGTTGATTAAGATGATTTATTTTACTAAGATAATGTAAATATCAGTATAAATTTAAAAAAAACGAATATGAATATATCTCTGAAAATAAATAAAGAAAATTTAATTAAAATATATTAATATGATATTAATTACATAAAAATTTGTAATATATAATTAATAAAGATAAATAATTATAATTAAATTATAAATAATTTATACCTTCAGATTATTTACCGATATCATTTATAATTAATATAGAATAAAATTAAGTTAAAAACTAAAAATAAAAGAACAATATACATATGAATAAATTGAATAAAAATAATAATATAAAAAAAAACCGGAAAAATTTAAATATCTTATAAATAAAGTTGTTAAATCATAATTTATATATGGAATCTCATATAGTAGAAACTAGGCAAAAAAAAAAAAAAAAAAAAATTGCTTTAAATAAAGTATAGAAAAAGTATATAGTTCGTATTTAGTAAAAACTTTAAGAATATAATTATATTTAAAAATTAATTAATTAGAATAATTAAATATACATAATTTAGAAGATATATTTATTATGTAATATAGATATCATATTATTTAAAATTTAAAATAATAAAGTTAAGAAGAATAATATATATAGTAATTTTAAAAGTTAGGGAATAATAAATATAACTAATGTAATATAATTATTTATAGAAATTAATATTTAAGTAGATAATTGAAAAATTATAATAATAATTTAGATCATATAAGATTGTAATATTAAATTAATTCAAAAGTTAAAAATGATTGTTGTTAAAAAGATGAAATACCAATAAAAATAAATAATATTGATAAATTAATAACACATAATCATGATTTAAATGAAAATTAATAGAAAGTTAAGAGTAAATATAATATATTAAAAAAGTGATAATCTTATTCAAAAGATAGAATATAAATATAGAATCAGATAACTACATGAATTATTTAAAATATTTTGAATTTGGAGAATGAATTTAAATAATTTTAAATTGATGGATATAATTTTGACGTAAGGATATATAAGAGAAAATATAATACAAATATAATAAACTTATATAATATTAAATAATATTTATTTAAGATATAAAAATACAAATAAATAATACATGTATTTTATTTTTATAAATTTGATAATATTACTTATATTTAATATCCATATATTTTAATTTGAAAATAATCATATAATTAATATTTTCTTTAAATTTTTAATTTTTTAAATGTTTATTTATTTATTAATATGTTAAAATATTTTTAAATAATTATATAATATAAATTAAAATTTTCTATTTATTTTCTATTTTTATATAGCATTTATCAGGTAAAAGTTTTAATATTATCGCTTGTTTTAAATATATTTTTTTTATATTAAACATGCAAAATAGATCGATCAACTTTAATTAGTTAATTAATATTAAAAGTAAAATAGATAACAATAATAAAAAAAGGAAATAGATAAAAACCAAAACAAAACAAAAACTAATATAATTTTAATTTACATTAAAAATAAAGAAGAAAAAGAAATAAATTAAAAAAAAAAAGTTATATATTAAAAAAAGGTTAGAAAAACAAAAATCATAATAATTTTTTTTAATTAAAAAAAAGTAAAAAAAAAAAAGAAAAAAAAATATAAAAATTCCTCTTATATATTTTAATACGGCTATGCTATTTAAAGATGTTTAATATGGATTATTTGTGAGTATTATAAATGATTAAAGTGAACGCTTTATTAAAATATTTGAGTAGGAGAATGTTGATATCAATCTTTACTTAAATAAATATAATTGGACTCCTATATAAACTGCAGCATATACAGGAAATTCAGAACTTGTTTATTATTTGATACATAAAGGTGCTGATTTAAGACAAACTAATAAAAGAGGAATGAATGCTATGGATATGGCTTTATATAATGGACATGAACACTTAAGAAAACTACTTGATCCTAATTTAAATTAATAAAATTTTGTTAAAAGTAATGATAGTTCTAATTCTTAAGATTAATTCTGTTCATTAGAGATATGAAAAATAATTAAAAAAAAAATTGTTTAAATATATTATTAAATGATATTATATAAAAATAATTAATATTAAAATAGAAAGTTATTATTTATATATAATTTTTATTTTATTTTCATGTATAACTAACAAGTTATATAATAATAGTTTATATTTTATAATTTTTTTTTTATATATATATATATACATATATTTTTTTTTATACTTTTAATATTTTTATATTTTTTTTTTATATTTTAAATTATAATTAATTGTAAATATTTCTTAATTTATATTCAGTTTAAAACTATTTTGAAGTATATAAGATTAACTATTTTAATTTTTAAACTATTTAACAATGTCAAATTTATAATAGGAGAATTTCCTAATAACATTATAAAACATTACTTTATGTAAAAGTAATAAAGTTATTATATTTAATATTTCAGCTTACTTATCAATATGAAAGGTTGAAAAAAAATAGTTTAAAAATAATTATAATTAGCATTAGAATAAGTCCTTAAAAATTAAAAGATTCTGTAATTTTAGTTAATTAAATAAATATAGTTAAGCTTTATAATATTCATTTATTTATTATAGTATTTATTTAAGATAAAATTATTAAAAAGTAATATAAATAATTTAATATAAATAAAAGAATTTTTAATATATGTAATTTATGTTTTAACTATTGCTTATCATAATATTTTTGTTGTAATTATAAAATATTTAATAAAGAGTATTTTTTATTTATCTTAAAAATAAAAATAAAAAAAAATTATAAATATAAATGAAAGATTAAAAATATATAAGTAATGTTTAAAAATTATGGTAATAAATTCAGTTTAAACAATGTTTTATTAAATATTATTAAAAAAGCATTTTAATAAGTATATTATTTTTTATGTAAAAACAATTAATAAATGTTAAATATTATATAAATAAATATATGTAAAAAAATAAAATAATTAAATAAAAAATTATATTAATATTTTTTTTTTAAATGAAAATTCATTTTTTATTATAAGGAAATTAAAAAATTAATAAATATAAATTATAATAAAATATAAAGAAATGAATATGATTTTAGTAAAATATTTCAAAAAAATAATAAAAATATAAAAAATTAATCTTATAAATATATAATTTAATAAATTAAAATCATCATTAAAAATCATATAAATTTAAATTATGCTTTTAATATGAAAATTGAAATTTATATTATTTAGAAAAGAAAATAAAATATAAAAAATAAATTTATTTGAAATATATATATAAATAATTAAATTTATTTTATATCAAATTAAAAAAATAAAGTAATATAAAAAAAAAATGAATTAATATAAAATTAATACATTATAAATATATAAAAAAAAATAAAAAAAAATATAATTATATAATTTATTATAAATAAAATATATATAAGATAAAATAATATATCTTATAAAATATAAATATGATGACAAAAATAATATAAATTATAATTATATATAAAAAAAAAAATATAAAAATAAAAATTGTTAAAAAATATTTAATTATTATATTAATTTGTGATATAATCAATATTAAATGTAATTTTTTTTTAAAAAAATAATAATTCTTATATTTAATATAATTAAACATAAATTATATATAAATGTATCTATAAATGATGAACAAAAAAAAATATTTTTATTAAATGTTAAAAATAAATAAAAAATATTTATTTAGATATATTTCTAAAATAAAAATATTGTATAATTTATTTTAATATAAAAAAATATATATAATAATTATTTTTAAAATATATATCTATATAAATTTAAAATTTATTATATATAAATTATATATATATATTTATATATATTTTTTATATATATATAAAACAATATTTAAAATAAAAAATATATTGTAAAAGAATTACTTTTAAAAATAAATTATTATATATTAAAATTAATATTTTTTTTATATAATATATTATTTATATTTAATTTTTTAATTTATCTAAATAAAATAAATTTTTTATTATTTATTTTTACAATTAAGAATTTTTATAAAAAAAAATATAATCTCATAATTTTTCTTTTTTTAAAAAAAAATAAATATTTAAAAAAAGTAAAAAAAAAATCATCCTAAAACGAAAAAAAATAAAATCAACTCTTAAAAAAAATAAACAATATAATAAAAAATTACATCTAAATTTTTAATAAATGGAATAATAAAGATTTTAAAAGATACTTGACCTTTAAAAATGTACTGAAAACATAAGAAATATATCTATAGTCGCACATGTAGATCACGGTTTTAATAATTATTTATATACAAAAATTAATAAAAAATAGGAAAAACAACATTATCTGATTCTTTAATATCATCAAATAATATAATATCTAAAAAATTAGTAGGCAAATTAAGGTATTTAGATTCCATGCCAGATGAATAAAATCGAGGAATAACAATGAAATCATCTTCCATATCATTAATATACCAAGATCCATATAAAAAAAATTAAGAATATTTAATAAATCTAATTGACTCACCTGGTCATGTAGAATTTTCCTCTGAAGTAAGTAGCGCATTAAGGCTCACAGATGGATCTTTAATATTAGTTGATGTGATCGAAGGTGTTTCATCATAAACTTATACTGTATTAAAACAGTCTTATACAGAGAAAGTTAAATCTATCCTAGTATTAAATAAAATAGATAAGTATTGTCTTTTTTTTATAAAAAATATTATAAATAAAAATAGACTTAAAAATGAATTTTGGCATTCAGAAGAAGAAGCATATAATCATTTATAATAGATAATCGAATAAGTAAATGCTGTAGTATCTTCATTTGTAAAGTAAGAAATAGATAATACAAATGAGAAAATAAATGAAGAACTAATTTTAGATATTGAAAAAAATGCTTATTTTTAACCTGCATATGGAAATGTGGTTTTTTGTTCAGCTTTAGATTGCTGGTGTTTTACTATAGATGATTTTGCGAATATTTTTTAAAAAAAATTAAATATGGATAAAGAAGTAATACTTTTAATTTTTTTAATATATTAAAAAAACATCAAAAATATTATTTATTTTTAAAAGACTTTAAAAAAAGGTATGTGGGGTGATTTTTATTTAAACCCGAAAACTAAAGAAATAACAAATAATCCACCTAATAGTAAATCAAAACCTCTTTTTGTAGACTTTGTTTTAAAAAATATATGGGCAATATATTAAATGGTAAAAGACTGTGATACAGAAAAACTAACAAAAGTATGCCAAGTTTTCCAATTATAAGACCTTCCTGAAAAAATGAAAACTTCTATATAAAAAAACTAATAAGCATGCACTTAGTATATAATGAGTTAATGGTTACCCTTAGATAAGTCTTTGTTTTAATCAATTATTGATTATTTGCCAAGTCCTATATAGGCTTAAAAAAATCGAATAAATATAATATGTAAGAAATTACATAAATTTCCCGAATTAAAAAAAGCTATTTAAAATTGTGAAAAAGATGAAGATTCTCCAGTTGTGGCTTATATATGTAAAATGGTTACAGTTCCATAATCTAATATAAATGAGAGAAATTAAGAAATTCAAATATAAAATCAATAATAAGGTTAAAAAATAGTCGGTTTTGCAAGAATATATAGTGGAAAACTAACTTAAGGGAAAAAAATTTACATTATAAATCCAAAAAAAGGAAATTTGAATGAAGAAAACACACATTTTTAAACTAATTAATTATATTTAATGATGGGTTAATATTTAGATGCAATATAAGAAATTACAGCCGGTAATGTTTTCGCAATTTCCGGATTGGATTAATTAGTATTTAAATCAGCTACCCTATCTTCCAATTTTAACTGTCCTTCATTCACTCCTATTAATATAGGTGCAAAATCTATACTTAAAGTTTCCTTAACTACTGTAAATTTACATGATTTTCCCGCATTAATCCAAGGACTTAAAAAACTCAACAAAAGTGACCCTTCAGTGGAAGTCTTTACAGAAAGTAACGGTGATTTGATCCTTGCAACCTGCGGTTAGGTCCATTTAGAAAGATGTATTAATGATTTAGAGAATGTATTAGCTAAAGTGCCTATTAAAATTTCTGATCCAATAATCTAATATAAAGAGACTGTTATAAGTAAGAACTTTAAAAACAAAAAAGTACTAACAAATAAAGATGGAGAAAATAATAAATAACAACAAGAAGATGATAATGAAGAAATAGATATAGAAACCTTAAAAAAATAAGCTAAATTAAGATTTTAAGAATAATGTGAAGATGTGGAAATTATAGATACTTTCAAAATAAAAGAAGATGATATTAGGTATGGTTTATTAGATGAAGAATAAGAAAAAGAGAAGTTTAAATATAATACAGAAGTAAGTTTTAAAAAAAAGGATTAAATTAATAAAGGGAAAATTAATACATTGTTAAATAAAGTAAATTTACTTGACTTAATTAATAAAATGAATTATTTTACTGAAATTACGCCGAATGGAAAAATTATGATTAAAGTCAGATGTGTTTCTTTTAAGTTTGAATTGGCAGAATGGATGGAAAAAAGTGCGAATTAAATGAAAAAAATATTTTATGAAGGAAATGAAAATTAACTTTATATTAAAGGATTTTTAGAAGAATTCGAAAAATAAGTTAATGAAAAAATAAAAGATAAAAAATTTAAAGATTTAATTATTAATAATTTAGTTAGATTTGGTCCTAATAAATATGGACCAAATATGCTTATTATAAATAATATTAAAGAAGAATAAAGTCTTTTATATAAACTTAAATAAAAGTTAAATCAAGATTAAAATAATAATAATGAAGAAAATGATAATAATAATAATAATAATAATAATAATAATAATAATAATAATAATATTAATAATAATAATAAAATTTAAGATGAAGAATAAAAAACAGAATATGATTCTTAAAAAATACCTTCTAAAACATCTAGTTAATCATTTAAACAATAATTAATTAAAAAGTAACTTTTTTTAAATATTATAATAAATATATATATATATATATATATTATTTTTTATTTTAAAGTGTTCATATTATGGAATAATTATATAAAATATCTTCTGAAGAAATTCATAATTGTATTCTATCAGGTTTTGATATGGCCGTGATGGCTGGACCTCTATGTGAAGAACCTATGATGGGTGTTTGTTATATAGTAGAGGATATTTAAGCTATAGAAGATAAGTAAGAAAAAGATTAAGCTTTAGATGATGAAAATAGCGAAACATCTAGTATTTAGCAATAAAAAATATAAAAAGATCCCTATGGCCCGATAAATGGTTAGGTAATTTCTACTATGAAAGATTGTTGTTTAGAGTCGTTTTTAGGAGCATAACCTAGAATTGTAGAGGGAATGTATTTATGTGAACTTTAAAATGATTAAGATAATTATGGAAAAGTATTTGAACTTTTAAATAAGAGAAGAGCGAAAATTGTATAGGAAGAACTTTAAGAAAGTACTAATTTATTTTTAATAAAAGCACATTTACCGGTTGGGGAATCACTGAATTTTTATACTGAAATGTAAATTAAAACCTCGGGAAGGGTCAATGCTTAGTTAATGTTTGATACTTGGAAAGTATTGAAAATTAACCCTTTTTTTGTACCTTAGACTGATGATGAAATAGAAGAACATGGAGATTCAATTAATTAGACTAATATAGCGAAATAAATTATAGAAAAAATTAGAAAAAGAAAGGTTTTTTTATTTTATATATATATTTTTGTTTATTGTAATTAAAGGGATTGTTTATAGAATAAAAAACTGTAGTCGCGGCTGAAAAATAAAGAAATTTATAAAAGAAAAAATGATTTTAGTCTTATAAAATGTTTTTTTTCTTATTTTTTGTATCCTTAATAAAATTAAATATTTTATTTAAATAATAAGATAGGTTTTTTTTTACATTTTGTTTTTATTATTTTAATTAATTTTTTATATTATTTAAAATGTTGTTAAAATATTTTTATTTACCAAAATTTTAAACTTATTTTTTTAAAAAAAAATATTATATATTGTTATTATGTTTTTTTTTGTATTTTTTGTTTAAAAAAATCAATAAACAAATAAAAACACAGTTTTCTGATATTTTTGTTTTTTTTTTTTCGCTTTTTTTTATTGTTGTATGTGTAAGTTTATAAATAAATATTATAGAAAAAAATAATTAAGAAAGTAGCAATTAATAATTTTTTTGCTCAAAATAATATATTTCATAATTAAATTAAGTTTTTTATTAAAAATAATAAAATAAGCATTTATATATAAATATATGTATATAACTATATAACTATTTCACTTTTCTTCTTCAATTTTTGTTAAATTCAAGTTACTAAGTTAAATTTTATTTTTAAAAACTTCTATATCTTATTAATTCATATTTAATAATTACATAATTCTTAAATTAATTTATAATAAATAAGTTTATTTTTTTTATAATTCTATAAAATCTTATCTAAGATAACTAAATTACTAAATCTAAAAAAATATAAAAATAAAAATAAAAATAAAAAAAATACCATTTATTCATAAATATTTTAATCTAAAATATTTCTATAAATTCTGGTTTTAATTTTGAAACTATTAATTGCTTTTCTAATTTTGATTTACAATTTCTCCTTAAGTTTTCCTTCAAATTTTTTTTTTTCTCCGCTAACCTAATTTTAACCATTAAAGTAATTACACAAGCTGCTTCATTTATGATTTATTTTTTGAACTTAAGTTTCTATAAAACCACAAAAGACTTCTTTTCAAAATTACTCTACTAAATAGTATTAGTAAGTGTTAAAGTCATAATAGAAACAATAGAAACACCCCACAAACATACAAAAAAAATAACAAATCTTCCTAAATTAGTTTTCGCGAAATAATCCCCATATCCAACAGTAGTCATAGTAATGATAATATTCCAAATACTATTTGAATAATTATAAAACAAAAAAAGCCCATTCGTATTTCTAGAAAGGGGTGCTTCGCATATTCTAACAGCATACCCAAAAAACATAATAGAAAAAAACATAGAAACACTCAAAAGACTATAAGGTCTTTTTTTCATCAAGCATTTTACCACAAAAAGCCAATTACTCTCACAAGCATATAAATTACATATCCTCTAAGTCCTATTATTATACCAATAAGACATCATAATAAGAGTCCTAATAATTAAAATAGCTCTCAAAAGCATTATTAAAGTCAATATTTCATTTATATGGTAATAATAGTTCTCAAAACTCTTATTTTCTTAATCATATGAGTTATAATCTTACATATTAATTCTTATTTTCCATAACCAAGGCATTGGATGTATTGCTGTTATTATCATTTCAGTAATTAAATATTTCATATATTCCGATTATATTAATTTCTAGGTTGCCACGATTACTTTTCTAGCACGAAGCCAGTCTAACTTTGTCTAATATCTTACTACAGTCAATATTAACATACATATAGTTAATGTAGTAGTTATATATAATAATGCAATGGCGTATTTTTCGTTTCTTTCTTGGAATTCTAAATCGTATTCAATCATTGTTATTATAATTGAAAAAAAAGAAAAAATAGAAACGGCTTTATCTATAAGTAAAAATCTATAAAAGTAAGCTTTTGTAAATAATCCGTCCTCAAATCCTCCAAGTTCTTACTCTTTTTAGGCTACTTAGAGTATTTCTGAAACTCGATTTCGAGGTTTTAATATGTTTTCAATTGTTTAAGTCAAGTTAACTTTTTGGTTTTTTTTGTTAATATTAAAGTTGTTTTAACTTACTGCTTAAATTTTTTTTATAATTTTTTAATTATTTTATTTAGGCATTTATTATTTTTATTATAATATTAACTTGGTTTGACTTTGTTATTGTTCCACGGGAGATTTTATTGAGTTCTGGGTACATGGAAATTGGAAGGTCTTCTTTTTGAGCATTCCCATAGCTAATTCTTCATTTGGGATATTAAATATGTTATCTTGAATTTAGACTACTGGATAACTCATTAATTTAGATTATATTTAGGGAGAAGTTGGTATTAATATATTATTTATCATATTATGTTTATATGAATATTTTTTTTATTATTTTTTTTTTTTTAATTTTCAATACTTATTTTACAAAATAGATTTTTATTAATTATATATATATATATATATATATATATTTCTTGATTGATTGAAAAAATAAAAAAATTATTAAGTTTAATTATAAATTTAATATAAATTATTATTTTACTCATTTATTTTATTAAGATAAAAGGTATAAATAAATGTGCTTATTTAAATTAATTTTAAATTTAAAAAAAAATAGAGAAATCATTAAGTCGTTATTATAAATTTAAAACTGTTTTCTTATGAAAAATTATAAAAAAGTCCTTTTTCATTAGGTTCTATTTTTTATAAAATACTGTTACAAAGTAAAATAGAATAAGGAATTTTATCCAAAACTTACAAATTATTAATAAAACATTAATATTAAGATAAAGAAAATTATTATTATTAAATATTTTGATATTATTATTAAGTTTAATAAAAAAATGATTATTTTTCATCATTTTATTAATTAGAATTATTCAAAAAGCTTATTTTGACCTATTTTTAAATTTTATATATTAAATAAAATAAAAAGAATACACATAGTTTATTTCTACTATTATTATTAATGATAATTTAAATAATTCCTTTGACATTTAAAAAACTCAAATATAAAAAAATATATTTAAAAACCCTTTCAAGTTATTATTTATCCTGAATAATATTAAGAGGAGATTTTGTTGAATATTTAAGTTAAAAACTTAATAGGTTACTTTATTAAATTTCGAATTATTTAATAAGACATGTAATAACTTCAAACAAATTGATTTTTTTTCTCTAAACAGTGAAATTTCCACTCAATAAAATACAAGAAATGTAAAAATCATTTAATGTTAATTCAATTTATTATAATTTATATATATATCCATCATAATCAAAAGACTATTCGGGACTTTTTTGAATAACTTCAATATAGTATTAACAATCTAAGATTTCATGTTTTAAATCCGAAATGATTTTTTGAAAAAAAGACTTCATTTTATTTTAAATCTAAAAAATAATTTAGAAAGGATTATTTAAGGAAACGTCTTTAATATTAAATAAAATAAAGGATTTTCCTTTCAGATTAATCTAAGAAATTTCACTTTCGATAATTTAATTTTTCTAAAGGAAATCATTTAAAGTAGTATTTAAATTAATATTTCCCTTCTATAAAACACAAAAGGATTTTTCTATAATTTCTTTTTATTTTTTTTAATTTTCCATTTAATTTTCAAACTAATTTAAAATGTCATTTAAATTTTCAATTATTCCTTTATAACTATAAATACTTTTCATAGAAGTAATAACCTAATAGAGATCATTTTCTTGACAATTTAATATTTCTAAAGCTTTTGAATTCGAATAAGTTATCTATTTTTTTTTTTTATTAACTAAAATTATTCCATTACTTATATTATTCTAAATTGCTTACCAATAAGATTTTTCTAAAATTATTTTCGGAATTTTATCTATTACGGAACCATCTATTTCAAAGTTTTCTTCTAAAATTTCAGATGAATTTACTTAAGAATCGTTTTATTTATTATCTTAATGTGCTTATTATTATTGTTAAACGAATTTTCTAGAAGTATCATTTTCAATTTAAATTTCAGATTCTTTAGCACTATAAAGACATTCTGTAGTACATGTAGATTATTTTAATTAGTTTATATTATATGAATTAATATTATTATTATAAATGTTTTTTTCTATATTATTATTTAAATTATTTTCTTCATCGAAATTATTTTAAATATTCTATTATTTTTCACTAATACCAAATTAAGGCGAAATAATTTAATTTTAGACATTATCATGTGTTTATTAAATAGTTTAATTATAATATGAAATTTATTAATTTTAAAGATAATTTTGTTGTAAAAATAAAAAAGCCTTTTTTTCAAAATAAAGTTCAGATTAAAAAAAAAATATTAAAAATATCACAAAAAAACTTGAATAAAAACTTATTTCATATTATCGGATTAAAATATATAAAAAAACTATAAAAATAATTACTATTTTAACTTAAATTTCTAATTTTTTAATCTTAATTATACTTTTTACACTTATTAAACATATTAAACCAAAAATGAAAACTTGAATTTAATTAAATTTTTAATTTTGCTAATTATCAAAAAATTAAAAAATTAAAATCTTTAGTTCAAAGTAATTCACAAAGGATATTACTTTTTGTATTTAATTTGTTAAATGTACATAGAATTATTAATTTATTATTACTAAAATAATTTAAACTATAAAATTTAATAAAGACAATTAAATATATAGATTAAGTGATTCACTTTTTTATTCCATAAATTAATAAATAAAGTCAAATAAATAAAAAAAAGAATTATAATTTATTCGTTATTTTCTTTAGTAATTATATTTTAAAAACACTAAAATTTATTATAAAAGTAACTCATTTTTTATTAAAAAACAGATATATTTTTAATTATTTTTTTCGTTTATTTTTAAATTTCATTTAATTAATTTAAATTTTAGAATAAAACACATTAGTTGTTTGAAACTCGTTAATTATATTTTTTTATTTAATTAAAATTCATTTTAGCAATATTTTTTTGTCCTTAATTTATTGATGATTTTAATTAATCAATTTAAATACTTTTTATTAAATAATTAATTAGGTATTGTTAGTATTTTATGTATCATCTAATTTTTATATTCCTTTATAATCAGAAAGGGTTGTTTTATTGATTTAAATATTTTATTTATTTAAATATTATTTAATTTTTTGATTTGCTTCAGTTTGATTTACAAAATCATCTCCAAATGTGTGCAATAATTCCATTTTTTATTTTTTATTCTTATTTTAAATATATAATTAAAAATAAAATATTTTTTTTTAATAATACATATTAACAAAAAATAAATAAAAATGTTAAATTTAAATGAACTTAACAACAGATATACAAATTTATTAAAAAATTTAATTATATAATTAAAAAATAGAAAAAAAATAATATTTTTTATATGTAAATTTATCTATTATTTTTATTTTAAAAAAATATTATTTTATATAACTAATTAAAATAAAAAAAATATCGATTTCTTTATAATATACTATAAATAATTTTATTTTTTAAAAAATATAAAAAATTGTTATTAAATAAAAATTAATTAAAATTAAATTTTATTTAATTAATTTATATAGTTTTTTATAAATATTATAATTATATGTCTTGATTATTTTTATTTAAATATATATATGCATATTTTATTTTATATTTAATATTTATTTTTAAATAACTAATTTATTAAAATAAAATTTTATTATAAAATAAAAAAAATAAAAACATTATTTTATTATGATTGATTAAAGCAAATACAAATTTAAAAAATTTGATACAGAATCAGATTCTGAAAAGATTTTATAAAAAAAGAATTTATCAGTATTATAATAATCTGCATTTTAATCAATAAATAAATATTATTAGTAAAAAAAAAATAACAATATTATTATTATTAATATTTTAATCAAAGATCAGGAAATGTATGTGATATTTTAGGATATGAAAAAAATTAGTATCCTAATCAATATTTAAATTTAGAAGTAATTATTAGAAAAAAAAGCAATTTTATTTAATTTTAAATAAAAAACAGAATATTGATTTTAAAGAAGAAATATGTAAAAACTTAAGATCTTTGAAAAAATCATATGATATATTAAAAAATAAATATAATTGGCAAGAAAAATAAATTTATATATTAAAAGTAAAAATAAAAAAAATAAAAAAAATAAAAAAAAACATAAAAAGTAAGAAACTGATTAATTATCAATCCTTGAAAGTTAGCTTTAAGGCAATTCCTAAAATTCCTAATAAGTATTAATAAATTTATAATATTTCTATATTTACAAATAATGTTTTTATAATTAGATTTTAAATAATTTAAAAGAATAACTTTAATCAATTAAAATTAAATTAGATGAAAGTGAAATGAATAAAAAATCATATTAACATATAGTATAAAGAATGAAAGTTGATTTATATATATATATAATTTATTTAATTAATTAATTTTTTAATAATAGAATGATTTATAAGCATATAAATTAAAATTATTTGGTACTGAAGATTTATTATAAAGCGAATTATTATAATTATAAAATGCAGAAGAAAAAAATGTAAAACAAAATCAGAATAATCATAAAGTCAATAAGCTTATGATGATGTTTAAAAAGTAACTTAAAATTTTATTTTTAAAAAATATATTAAATATTACTTTATAAAAATAAAAAGAATATAAAAATTTTCCATTAAGAAAGAGAATCTAATATATCTAGATTATAAAAGAATTTAGATGCCAAATTAGATATAGAAAAAAAACGGTATTTTATTAAAAAACTAATAAAAAAAAAAACTAAATACAAAAAACAAAAAAGAGAGGAAAGACTAAAAAGATAAATAGAAATTGCAGAAATAGCTTAGAATGATATAAATGGCTCTAATTTAGTAAAAAATAAAATAAAATAATATTTTATTTTAAAAAAATAATAAGAAAAAATGGAGAATAGTTTATTTTATAAATTCCTTCTTATGCTTATTTTTAAAAAATAAAATGGACCGATTAATGAATAAATATTAAGAAGTAGAAAAAGCCTTCCAAAAAATAAAAGCTTAAACAGGAATATCTGTGGCAAATGAAATAGTCCATAAATTTTTAAATAAAGATAAAAATTATAATGATTTATTAAATACTGTTTCTGATTATGAAATCAAAATTCAAAATCTAAAATAATAAAATAAAAAATATTAATAATAATTAATTTAATTAAGATCAGTTTAACCATAAGAAAAATAAATTAATAATAAATAATTTTCATTAGAAATGGAAGAAATTAATACATAATTTAAAGATGTTATAGAAAAAGAAGAAATAGCTTTGTTAACTTAATAAAAAGCATATAAATGGGGAATTTATAATATTATGAAAATAGAAAAAGTATTTACTAAATTAAATATTATATTTAATAATTTATAATAAATATAGGTATTAGGAGTTAAAATACATGATATAAAATATTATTAAAATATGTATCCACTTAAAGATTTACCTATACTTTACAATACAATATTTTAATATTTAAGAGAAAATTTATTAAATAAATCATCAGACGTATTAAATCTGATCGGAGACATTTTTTTTATATTATATATAATTATATTTATATAAATTTATTTGTTATTTATGAAAAATTTAGTTTATTAAATAAATCTTAAATGATTAGTATAAAACATTAAAAGTATTAAATGAATACTATGATTCAAATACACTAAATAATCGAATTTTACATAAAAAAAATTCACAGAATTAAAAAAATAATAGTAATTTTGATGAAATTAATTTCAAAAATGAAGATGAAGATTCAAATAATTCTGATGCGAAAAGCAAAAGTTAAAATATTTATTAAAATTAAAAAAAAAAATTAAAAAAAATTAAGTTAATGATGATAATCCTGAAAATTTTTTAAATAGATAATTTAAAGATTGAATAAAAAAATTAAATTTTTTATAATAAGAAATAAACTGTAATAATAATAAACATATTATTACATTATAAAAATAAGACGTAACATATACCAATATATATATATATATTACATTAAAAAAAAAAAAAAAAAATTACTCAATTTTTAAGAATATCTACAAAAATATCTTTATCAATTTATACATTTCCAATTTATCTTAATTTTTTTTTCCTTCTTTTTGTCTTTCCAATAATTTTTTTTTCCTTGAATAATCTCCTCCGTAACATTTAGCAGTAACATTTTTCCTCATCTAAGAAATTTCTTCCTTTGCAATAATCTTACTCCCCACTTTAGCCTAAATAATTAGCGTAAACTATTATGCAGGTAATTTATCTTTTAATTTTCCACAAATTAGTTTTCCAAACTACTATGCCCTTCTTTCATGCACCATAAAAGATAAAGTATCAACCGGTTCACCCATTAATAAAATTACTAATTTTTTATTTTCGCCATCCTAAATCCAGTATGGAAATAATCCAAAGTCGCATAACCTTAAGTCATAGACTTTAATTTATCGAAAAAATCACTAATAATTTCACTTAAAGGGAACTCGAATTTTATTTTTTATCTTTTATCATCAATTAAATGAATTTCTTTTTAAATCCCTCTCCTTTCAGAACAAAAATTTAATACTTCCTATATATATTCTTTTGGGCAAATAATAGTTGCTTCTACTATTGGTTCTTCATAATATTCCACATTTACTTCTTCTGGGGCCATTAATGCATTTTCTATTTCAATAATTTTATCTTATCCTTTTAATTTGGCTCTATATGGTACATTCGGTGTAGTTAAAAAACACCCTAAACCATATTCATCATCTAATCTTTATTTAAATACATCCATATGCAACAAACCTAAAAATCCACATCTAAACCCTGGACCTAAAGCTGCCGAACTTTCTTTATAAATACTCACTGCAGGGTCTGTAAGAGCTAATTTATGAATACTTTTTTACAAATTAGGGTAGTCGTCAGGATCATCAGGATATAAACCAGCAAATACCATCGAGTGTACAGGTTAAAAACCAGGTTCAGGCTCTATAACTTAATCAACTTTATGAAATGTATCACCTACTCTAGCATCTGTCACTTATTTCATATTTGCAAAAATATAGCCAACTTCACCTGCTGTTAGGCGTGCTTTGGGGGTCATTTCAGGGTTTAATACTCCTACCTTAATATATAAACTTTATATATATATATATATACATACTTCAAAAATTTCGTATTTTTTTTTAAAAGCACATGATTAGATATATTCACCTTTTGATATAAAACCATCTTTGATTTAAGCTAACATAATAACTCCTTAATCTTTCGAAAACCAACTATCAATTATAAAAGATTTAAAAGGCTTATTTATATCAGCTTCCGGAGGAGGTATTTTTAAAATAATTTCATCAAGTATATTTTAAACTCCTTTCCCTGTTTTGGCACTAATATAATGTATTTCTTCCGGTTCTATTTCGAATAATAATTACATTTATTCTGAAACGTCTTCTGGATTAGCTGCTGGCATATCTATTTTATTTATTATGGGTATTATTTTTAAATTATTTTATTTAGCTTTTTCATAATTGCTTAATGTTTATGCTTATATGCCTTAACAAGCATCTACTAATAATAAACTTCCTATTTTAGTTTTTTACTTTTTATTTTGTATTTTTTAAAAAAATTACCATTACAAGAACGCATACTACGAGAAACTTCGTAATGAAAATCTACGTGACCAGGTGTATCTATTAAATTTAAAAGATATTTTGTGTTATTATATGTGTATTCCATTGATGCTGATTATGCTTTTACGGTTATTCCACGTTCTTTTTCAACTTTTAATTTATCTAAATATTAAATACCTTTATTGTTATTAAAAAGTATTTTATATTTTTATTTTATATAAAATAATAACCGGCTTTTATACTGCCTGTTAATTCTAAAATACGATCTGCTAATGTTGATTTACCATGGTCTATATGTGCAATAATGTTAAAATTACGAATGTTTTGTATTGGGTAATTTGGCTTTAATTAGGTAAATAAATATACAGATTTATTTTAAATTTGTCTAAACATATTTTTTTAATTTTATATTTTAATATAAATAAAAATATAAATACATTTTTTTACATTAAAATAAATATTTATTTTATATTAAAATATAAATTCTAATAAAACTAAATTTTAATAATTAATATTTAATAATAAAAATCATAGATATTTCTATTCATTTTATTCATACAAATATAAAATTAGATATTGTTTAAACATATATTATATAATAAAAAAATGAATTAATTAATAAATTAAAACTTTACATAAATGTAAAGTAAAAATAAAATAGAAAAAAATAAAGTATCAAAAAGCCTATTATTTTTTTAAAATATAACTATTATTTTATTATTATTAATATATCTATTTTTCTTAACTTCTTTGACTATAAAAATAATTATTTTTATTATTATTATTATTATTATTATTATTATTATTATTATTATTATTATTATTATTATTATTATTGTTATCAATATTATTATTATCATATTTTAATAGCTTTTTTTAATAAATATTTATAAAATTACATTAAACTTATTTATCAATTTTTATTTTATTATTTTAATATTTATATATATTTATTAGTTTTTCATATTCTTATTTTAACTTATTTATTTATTTTTTTAATTATTCTATCTCTATATCTAAAACATTTTTACATTTACTAAATTCTTCTCTTTCAACTCTTATTTATGTTTAATATAATCTACTTAACTATATATATTATTACTTTTATTAAATTAAATCACTTAATCCCATAAAATTGTACTTTTCATAATAATCAATTCCACAAAGAATTTATTCACATAATTATTTATAATTTTTAACTAATATAAATGGTAAATTATCATTTTCATTTGTTTTATACAAAATTTGCATTTTATCTTAATAAGGTTATATAAAGTTATTATTTTCGACAAGTATATATTATTTTAATTATTTTATTACATATTACATAGCAATAGTAAATTAATTTTCATAAGTAGCTATTAAAGACAAAATTCTAAATAATATATCTATTTATATACTTTCATCTAAAAATATTTGCTCCTATTCAATTTATTATTGATTTTCCTAATATTTATCTATAAGTTTATATAAACCTGAATATTTTTACCGTTTCCATATTGGAATTTCCTTCATGAAATTATTTGTCAAAAAAGAAGGTTTTTTTTGTACTTTGTTGCCACTTTTTAAAGTACTCTATTAGATACTCAAAGGACTCTTTGAAATATTTAAATGACTCAACGTTTTCTCTTCTTATTCTAAAGAATTACTCTATTATTTTATTTAAGAATGAATTTATATTTTTAATATGGATTTTCTGTTGTCTTTTAAAGAAAGGGAAGTTTGGCTTGTTAATGAAGTTGTTATATTTTTTGTTAAATTCTCTTTTTTAGTTTTTAGGGGCGATGCTATATTTTTTGTTTTATAATTATTTTTCGGAGATTTTTTTTTTTATTGATTTTTTTTTAAAAATGGGATTTCGAGTGTTTTTTTGGGAGAAGGACTTTCAAATGATTTTTCGGTATTTTTTAGTAATGGGGGAGTTTTTTGGGGGGATCGCGAAAATTTGGTTTGGTTTATTTTCTTAATTATTATTGGCGTGTTCATTTTTTTATAATTTGATTTTTTTTTAATAAATTTAATATTATATAATTTATTATTTTTATATAATCTAAATTAAATTTTTATTTTTTATTATATAATTTTTTTATATAAATATAATATATTTTTTTATAAAAAAAGTATAAAATTTAAAGTTTGCTTTTATATTTTTATTATAATTATATAATTTTATTAATCTATAAAGTTATTCTGATTATTAATTTAAATATTATAAATACATAATTTTAAATATTTTAAATTTAAAAAAAATAAATAAAAATATTTAAAATATCATGTCTATGTTATTAAATAATAAATAAATAAAATTATTAATATTATAAAATATAAAAATAAATTATTTAAAAAAATAAAGTACATATTCAATATAATAATTTTTTAAAAAAAATATATAATAAAATTAAATTTTTTTAATCTTATTTATTTTAATGCATAAATCATTATTTAATTTTTATTAAATATTTAACAATATTAAATTATATTAACTTAATATATTAAATATTATTTATTAAAATATATTAAATTTCTACTTTTAATATTTATATTTTTATTACATAAATATATTTTAAAAAAATTTATATAATTTGTTTTTAATATTTTTTAATTGATTTATTTAAATTATAATACTTTATCTAAAAATAAATTAAATTTTCTAATTCTAATCATTGATTATTAAGAAACATAAAAATAATATTAAATCATAACTTTTTGAATAAGGAATAAATTATAAATATAGTAAAATAAATGATAAATAAAGATAATGTATAATATAAAAAAATTTAAATATGTAAAATATATATATATATATATATATATATATATATATATATATAATTAAATATAATAATTAATATTTCAAGCATGATTTTCAAATACATATATTATAATTAAAAAATAAAAATATTTATTAATTATAAATAAAAACATAAAACAAATATTATTCAAAAATTTAAACAGTATATAATGTTAATATATATATGAATTTATATTTAATATAAATTAAAAATAATAATAAATTTTTTTCTAACGAAATATTTATTAGAAATTCTTTGCAAAAAAACTAAAAACAATAGCCATAGACCGACTATTTATTTTATAAAAATTCATATTAAAAAGATATCCAATAATAATAATAGTGATTGTTTTAACATAGTAAATAAATAAACTATGTAAAATTCATTCTAATACTGAATCTTAATAAAAAAAGACTTATTATCTTTATCTATACACACTTTAATCTTTAGAATTCAGAATTATAAAAAATTCATAAGACGCTTTAAAACTAATTTCTGGTATTACAAAAAATATGCTTTTATGGAGATAATAATTTTGTTTAAGCACTTAAGTAATAATATAAATAAATACTCGAAAATAAATATTATTAGTTATAAAATAAATACTGTATAGTATTAAAGTAAATGACGATATTTATTTTATAATAAAAATACAAAAAAAAAAAATAACTTTAAAGCCTATGAAAGAAAAATTAATTTTTATAGATAAAAAGCATGATATCATTAAAGCTTCAAAGTCAAAAAAGATGTTAAGTATATTATTAGAAATTACATAATGTATTAATGGTTTAATAATGTAAGAATTAATTAGATTAAAAATGCTTAATATGTTCAAAAAATAATTAAGTTGTGATTATAGGCATGAAAAACGGTTGTTTGTATTGAGGATATTACCAGTTTTAAAAAGTTTTGAATTCATTAAATAAATAAAACAAAATATTAAAAAATATATGAAATTTTTAATATATTTAAATTTTTAATATTATTTATTTTAAAAAAAATAAAAATATAATAATAAATTTTTAAAATAAATATAAAAATTCAATAATTTATATTTTAATCTTATCAATATTTATATAAAATATATAATAAATTAATAATTTAATGTAAACTATTTTTATTTTATTTTTTCAGAATCCAATTTCAGGATTAACAGCATCTAATTCTTCATGATCATAATTAGAAAAAAAAGAATATTAATATACTAAATTAGGAATAAGTGGCCTTGAGATTCTTTTTTTTAAGCAAAGTAATTCTTATAGCATTTACTAATTTTCATCTATAGAAGAGGCTAAAATATTAGCGATTAATACATTATTTTAATCTTTTTTACCTATTATTTTTGCAGCTTCAGAATACTAAATATAAAAATATTTATGAACATAATTATAAATAAAAATATAAATATATATATATTTATATATATATATATATATATATATATATATATATATATATATATATATATATATATTATTATTATTATTTACTTACTTTTTCCCATACATCTCTAGTAATAAATGGAGGGTCTATTAAAATAAAATCAAATTAATTATGATATTAAACAGGTATTTCTTAAGGATTTTTAAAATCAAAATAAATAAAATTAGTATTATTTTTAGCAAATTTATTATCATATTCAAATAAAAAACAATTTTTTAAAAATTATTAATCTTATATTGAATAAAAAACACTAGGAGTTGATAAAAAAGCACATATTTTTCCATTTTATAATGTTTGATTTACTAATAATTCTATTGTTTTTGAAGAATACCAATATTAATTAAAATTTGCATTTTCCGGATTTTTTACTATAAATTTATTTTTTTTATCGTTCATATTTGTATAATAATTATAAATAATTAAAATATTATTTTTATAAAATAATATAAATATCTTTAAAAATATTATATTAATAAGTAAAAAATATATTAATAAAAGCATTTTTTAAAAATAATTATTTAATTTTATTTAAAAAAAATACATATCTTTATATATAACATTTTTTTTCAATTCTAAAGCATTTACTTATTATTAACATTCCAAATTTTAATAGATTTATCCCTAAAAAATAAATATATATTATAATGATATAAGAATTAATATTAAATGAATAAATAAAAATATATATATATATATATATACATATATATATATTTATTTATTTATATATTTATATATATATTTATATATATATTTAATATTAAATTAATTACCATGAACCTGTAGCTACATTAAGTCTTTCATCTACTGCTAACCCCCAAATAGCATAAGAATGAGATAAAAAGCTTTTAATACAATCTCCTTATTCATAATCCCACATTTTAATAAAGCAATCTTCAGACCCTGAGATAATTATAGTATCTTATAAATATACAAGTGCCCAAACTGGTCCTGAATGTCCAAACATTTTTTAAACACACTTAAATTATTCCATATTCCATGTCCTGATAGTAAAATCAGAACTTCCAGTTGCTATTATTTTGCCTTGTTCCAATTCTAAAATACTCCATATAGGTAACTCATGTCCTTTTAGAGTTTATTCTACTTATTTAGTTTCTAAATTCCATATTTTCAGCGTATTATCTCTTGAACCTGATGCCAATTTTTTATTCGAAAGACCTTTAATTACTCTAACATAATCATCATGTCCTTATAATACATAAAGACAATTAGCATTGCTTATGTCCCAAACTTTTACTGTTTTATCCTCTGAACCGGAAATTAATTTAGATAGATCATCTGTAGGTTAAGTAAGAGACCTTACTCCTGAATCATGTGCGTTATTTATGGAATATACTAACTAATAATTCGTAGAATTCCACATTTTTATGGATTTGTCACTTGCTCCACTAGCAAATTTATTAGAGCCTACATTTAATAAACACCTTACTTATTCAGTATGATCAGTTATTGTATGCATACATTTTCCTTATACAATATCCCATATTTTTATTGTTCTTTATTTATTTTTATTTTTTTATTTTTTATTTTTTTTACTTATCTTCACTTCCACTAACAAATCTATTTCCAGAAAGAGCACATACAGTCCAAATAGCTTTTGTATGTCCAGTTAGACATTACTATACTTCTAATTTTTTACTAGCCCATATTATTACCATATTATCTTCAGCACAACTAGCCAAATTTCCATCTTAGAGTACTTATAAACTCCTAACAGGAAATTTATGTCCAATCAAAGTTTTTATACACTCTCCTGTTTTTGGGTTCCATATTTTTATTGTATTATCAGCTCTATATAAATATTTTGTATACATATATATTTTTTTAAAAAAATATGTTTATAATTTTACGATCCTGTACATATACTATTATCTGGTAAAATACACAAAGAATAAATAAAAGTATTATGAGCCTTAAATTTCTAAACAACAGCACTTTTTACAGGATCTAAAATTTAAACATTTCCATCTCTAGAACCTGTCACTATTAATCCATTTTTCATAACATCAATTGCATATATATAATCTCCATGAGAGTCGAAAGAATTAAGGATTTCTCCTGTATTAATATCCCATATTTTTACTGATTTATCATCAGCGGCTGATATTATCTTATTGTCTTTAGTTACATGTAGCTTTCTTATATAATCATCATGTCCATAAAAAGATCTTATTAATTATCCGGATTTAACATTCCATAATTTTATCACTTGATCTTGTCCTTTTATTTGTTAAAAATATTTTTTTTATTTTTTTAAATAGTATTTTTTTTTAAAAAAAATTAATTAATGCAGTAAATTTACCTGCTGATAAAATATTGCCATCTGGTAAAGGTTATAAAGCGAAAATAGTCTTAGTATGTCCTGTGAGTGCTTTTTCGAATTCATCATTATTATAATTATAAAACTTAATAACATTATCTTTAGCAATAGCAATTGAACCATCTGGCATAGTACAAATAGCATTTAAATTTTTATCATGAATAAGAGTTGTTTGTTTACATTAATGAGTTTCCGGATCCCAAAATCTAATAGTTTCTTTTTTTAAAAAAAATATACATACATACGCATATATTATATAAATTTTTACTATCTTTAGAACAAGAAACTAAAGTGCCATCTTTTGCAACAGTCATATCCATAACATGATCTTGATGCCCTTAAAGAATTTAAAGACAATCAGCGGATCTAGAATGCCAAGACATGTCGATCATTTTAATTTCATGATGTTCTAGTAACTATTTAAGTTTTTCTTTAATAAACTCTATTATTTCTTCTTTGATTTTCTTGAATTTTACTGCATCAAATTTCGGTAATTTTTTCAAATGTTCTTTTACGTCTAATTCCTATAGTTGATTTAAGCCTTAGTTTTTAATTAAGCTATCACACAAATTTTCTACACTATTATAATTATTTCCTTAAGTAGCCTATATAATTTCTTTTAAACTTTTTTCTTCCCGGTTTAGAATTTGTTTGGTTTCTTCTAAAGCAATATCTATTGCATCATAATGAATTTTATTGTTAATTTTAAACTTGTCCTGTGTATTTTCATATAATAGTTTAGTCATTCTCATCATGTCTAAAAAACTGTCCTCAACTGTATCGTTGAAAAATTCTCTTTGAATTCTTAATTTATCTTCTGATGCTTCTGTATTTGCATATAAAATGTTTTCTTTGAAAATCTTCTCTTTTAATTCTTCTGAAGTAGCATAATTTTATAAAAATTGCTTTATGTTTATTAGGTTTTTTGCGTGATTTTAATGGTTTGAAAGCATACAATTTGTACAGGCTAAACGATCTTTGCATGTACCTATATTACATACATACATTATTTGTTGAGTTTCATGACCTTGTTTTTTGCATTTTAAATTTATTAAAAAATTCTCTACGTAGGATGATGCCATTTTTTTTAAAAAGGTATTTATTTATTTATTTTTATTTTTTTTGTATTTCTTTTATTTATTTTTTATTATTATTATTTTATATTTATAAGGCTTTTTAATATTTTTTATTGTAGTTGTTTTTTTATTTTTTAATAAAAAAAAATTGACTTCAATAGAATTATAAATGCATATATTTTTTTTTAATTATTAAAAAACAAATTAATTAAAAGTAATATAATAGTTACCATTCCCCAAATTTTATTATAGTTTAAACAATTATTATTAAATTTATTTATTAATTTTATTATTATAATTTTTTATATTAATAATAAAAATTTTATTTTGAGAATTTTCAAAAAATATTTTAATAATAATAAATTTCCATCAAATTTTAAAATATAAAAAATTTGATTATATATATTTTTAAAAAATAAGTATTAGATTAATATTATAAATAATTTTTTTAATTTTGAAAAATCAATATAATTAATATATTAACTAAAATATATTCCTAAAGAAAAAATTCCTTTTCACAAATCTCCTTTAGCACTTTTATTTTTATTTTCTTCAACTTTCTAAAAGTACTCAACTTTTTAATTTTAATCCGGTACAATAGTAGAATCCCCAGGTTACCACCCAGCAGGACAAACATCTCCAAACTTATCAGTATGTTAGAAGGCTTTAATAAGTCTCAAAGTTTCCTCTACACTTCTTCCCACAGGTGCGTCATTAATTTATACAGTTCTTATAGTTCTTTTTCCATCAATAATAAATAAACCTCTAAGTGCTGCTCCATATAATTCATCCATTTCATCTTCTACCAAAACCCCATAGGCTTTAGAAATTCTCTTCGAAATATCAGCCAAGAGGGGGATATTCAACTTTCCTACACCACCTTAATTTCTTGGAGTTTTTGTCCAAGCCAAATGTGTGAAATGAGAGTCTGTAGAAATCGCAATTATTTTAGCACCAATAGCCATAAATTAATCAACTGCATCTGAAAAGGCAACTAATTCTGTAGGACATACATATGTAAAATCAAAAGGATAAAACACTATTATTAAATATTAACCTTCGTATTAATCTAAAGATCTTACTTCAAATTTTCCTTCAGGGGTTACGGCCATCGCGGAAAAATATGGAGCTTTTTAACGAGGTAAGGTTACACGAGGGATGTATTCGTATTTAGCAATTGTTGATGTTTATATTTGGATCAGTAAAATTGATAAAAATATAAAGAAGTTTGATTTGTTCATCTTTTTTTTTTTAATATTTATTATAATTAAAGATATATTAGTATTTATGTATTTATATTTAACAATATGTTTATTTTATTATTAATATTAATTTATTTTTTATATATAATATATAAATATTAATTTCTATTGAAAATGTTTCTATTGTTATTATTTAATATTTACTATAAAATATTTATATTAATAATATTTTTAATTATAAGATATAAATAAGATTTTATATATATTAATTATTTATTTACATATGAAAAATAGTATTTGTAAAATGTTAATCTTTATACATTTTTTTTGTTGTATTTTATAAATATATATATTAAAATCATTTATCATTTATTGTTTAAAATAATACAATTATCAATAATACTATTAAATCTAATTTTTTTTTTTATAAATTTGCATTTATGACTTTAATATATATATTTTTCTTATAAATAATAATTTTTAAATTTAGATTAAAATAATTTAATCTAATTGAATTTCAAGTATTAAATTAATAATTATTTTATATTTTATTGAATTATATATAATTTCTAATAATAAATAAAAAAAAAAATTAGATATAATTAAATATATATTAAATAAAAAAATATATTAATTATTTATATATAAAATATAAATATTATAAAAGAAATTATATTTAATTATATAATTATTTATAAATATAATTAATATATTTAATATAAAATATTTTTTTTAAAAAGTATATATGTAAAAATTAATAAAATTAAATAATAAATTTATTTTTACTATATATTTATTTATTAATAAAAAATTTTTAAAAATTAAATTTTTCATAAAAAAAAATATTCAATTGAATTATTTTATATAAATATTTATTAAAATAAAAATAAATACATTTAATAGATATATAATTTTTTATAAATTAATATAAAAAAACAACAAAAAACAAAATGAACTTAGATATTACTAATAATAACACATAGTCTTTATAATAAAAAATATTAAATGAAATAAAAATATAAAATAGCGAATTTTTTTAAAATATTTAAGATTATCCAAACTTAAACTTATATTTTAAATCGTAATTATTTTTCTAAAAAAGTACAAATATAAATTTTTTTGAAACCTCTTATTTTTCAAGTTAAAAAATATCAGAAAAATAAAGTACTCATAGATAAAATAATATGTATTCAACCCCAATATAATCTAAAGAAAATAATCTTCTTTTCCAATATTCTATAGATGAAAACAATGATTAATTAACCAATAATAGACTTTTAGAAAATAAAACAAATAATAAATTAGTAAATTTAGTTAGTTTAAATTCAATTATTTCAGACAAAGGATATTAAAAATATATAAATATTTAGAAATAAAGCAAATCTATAAATCTTTTATAAAAAAGTATGGAGTAAAAAAAACAAATTTCCGTTTAATAAACTCTATATTAAGCATTTTCAAAGTTCAATATTTAAAAAAAATAATTTAAGATGTTTTAATGAATATAAATTTACAAAAAATAAATTTAAAATTATTAAAAGAAATTGAAAATTTAAAAATAACTTATAAATAATTTTTTTTATTTAAATTAAATGAAGACTCATCTAAAACTAAATGTATTCTTATTTTAAGAAAAAATCAATTCAATAAATTTTTTGTTCATTTTGAAACTCATAATTCTCTCAAAATACTTATGGCAGGAGATATTTTAGATATTATATAAAAAAAAAAATATTATTATTTAAATAAATTATAAAGTAATATAAAATAAATATTTATTTTCATCTATATAATTAAAAAAAAATTAGGTTTTCAAAAATGAAATATTATCAATTATATTATAAACATAAAACGAAGAATAAAAAAAATAAATAATCAATGAATTAAAGTAATTTTTATATGCGGATTTTTTATTTAAATTTAAAAAATAAAAATAATAAGTTCTCATTTATAAGAATATTAAAATATAAAAAAATAAAGACAATAATAATATAAAATATGAAAAAAAAAAAAAAAATCAAGAAAAAAGATTTTAAATTATAACTGAATGTAATGAAGGACTATATAATCCTATACCTTATAATCCAAAATTCCAATCGTAACCGATTCCGAAAGCTAAAATATTTCCATCTAACGAAAATGAGGCCGCAGAAACAGCCTTTTTTGTAAAAGAAATTTTTTTAATAATATTTTTTTATTCAATATCCCAAAAATACTAATTTTTTATTTGTTTCTAAATAAAAACAATATTATTTTATTTTATTTTACAATTTTTCCGTCTGACCCAAAACTAACCAAAAAGTTATCATTTTTTGGTAAAAATAAGACTTCATTAACAGGAAAAGAAAAAAATATATTTTCATTTTTTTTATTTTTGATTTTTAAATGTCCTTTTAATTTCTTATAATTTTATACCAAATATTCATTTCCTTAATTACAAATTTTATAAACTTAAATAATACCATCAATAAAACCCAAAGCCAAATTAAATTTATTATTATTTATACATATAGATTTAATAGGGCAACTATATTCTATTTTCTAGCTAAAAAACTTAATTTATAATAATAATATCAATTACTAAATATTTACTAAAATCAAATTATTTTAAACAGTACAAATACCTAATAATGGATAATTAAAATCACAAACTATTATGGGTTCGTTTATTTAAAAATACTTTTTTCTTTATGATTTTGACCTTAATATAGGACTATTACTCCTTCCATTAATACGCTTATTAATATTTTATATTCTTCTAACCATTATAGATTACAGGCAGGTAGTTAATATTAATCTATGATAGTTTTTTAAGACTTTTATAAAGAATAAGTATTTAAAGTATTATTTGCAGAAGAAAAATATATTAGTTAGGAATCTATTCTTATACAAAAATTTAATATTGGGTGATCATCTTAAAAACCTTTTTCGTAAACTATTCCTTTAATTTTATCTACTGAGTAAATTTTTAATTATCCTGCCCATGTAGAAATACATAATTTATATTAGTTTTTTGAATTAAAAAACTTTATACATGAAATTGTGTCTTGTGGTTAAGATTAAATTTCTTTAGTTTATATTTGTAAAGTTTATAATTGTTAGTTTTCTATTTTTTATGGCATTTTCTTTGCTGTTTCATTTATAGGATTCATTAATTTTTTTTTTTTTTTTTGCTTTTTTTTATATTTTTATTTTTTAGCAAAAAAAAAAAATTTAATTAAAATTGTTTTTTAATTTATTTAATGAATATATATTCTTATATAAAATACAAAATTATATTAAATTAATAATATATTCAATATTATTACTAATAAATATTATAGTTATAGTTTTTTTTGTTTTTTAAGTTTCATTAATATTAAACATTAAAATATATAATTTTTTATTACTAAAATAATAAATAAGAATTATTATTATTTTCAATAAATTTAAGAAAATATTTATCTTTCTCAATTAAAAAAATATTTAATTTTCTCTATTTATTTTAAAAATACAAATTTTATATTTATTTTGGCATAAATTAAATTATTATTATTCTCTAAATAAAATTATAATAATTATTCATTTAATTAATTTATAATTTTATATTAAATTTATCTAAATTATTATTATGTTTATTTAGATAATATTTCGTTTCTTATTTTATCAATTATAATATTATATTTAAATATAAAGGCGTATAGATAAATTATATTTTATTTTAAATTTTAATTATATACTTCTTATTTTTTTAAAAAAAACTAATTAGAGATATAAGTATTATTTTGTATTTAAAATAAAAATACAATTCAATAAAATAAATTTTTATGAAATATATATTTTTTTAAATTATGATTTTCTAATGAAACATATATTATAAAATAAAAATTTAATTTTTTTATTTTAGTAAAAATGAAGAAGTAAAAATACAAAACATAAACATATTTATAAAAAAAATTGTTTAAAGAAAAGAAAAAAGTTTAATAAAGTAATCATATTATTTACAAATATATTTTTTATTTATTTATTAAAACTTGAAAAAAAGGATTTCAAAATTATCTAATATCATGAATCTTATCTAAATTATAATTAAAAAGAGAAATTTTAAAATACTTATCACTAGAATATTTTTCCACAATATCTTGACAAAAATTATTCTTTTAAGCATTAATTAAAAACTCATAGAGTTCCTATCCGCACTCAAATAAATCATCTTACTAAAATCCACTAAGAATTTATAAATTATCATTCCAAAATTAAAATCCAAATACATTTTTAAATTTTTAACATAACAAAATTACACTAGCCGCAATTTTATTATGTTACCATTTTAAAAAAAAATCAATATTAATCAAACTTAATTCCAATAAGTATTCACAAAAAACCTTTTCAAATTAATCTTATTATTATGTTTATTAAAAAAAAGCTTCAAAGAAAAAAAACCTAGTTGGTATTAAAATATTATACTTTAAAGTTTTCAAAATAATCTCTTCTTATTTTAATAAAAGTTTATAATTTTCTATTTAGAATACATCAGCTATTTCATTCAGTTTAGGATATACTATTTCTTGAAATTTTGCAGCAATAAAAGTGCATCCACAAGCCATTTATGTTACTTAAAATAAATCTAAAAAAGTACAATTAATTTAGTCTAAAAATCTATATAATGTTACTACTGCTAAATGAGTAGTTTCTTAACTTAAATTTAATTTATAACATAATATTAAAACTTATTTTATTCCATATTATCTACTTAAATATTCCATTTTTGTTAAAATTTTTTTGACATTTTATATTTACTAAAATAAAAAAAATTAAAAAAAACTATACTAAATATTAATATATGTATATATATATATATATATATATATATAATATATATATATATTATTTATAATTTTTAGTATGTTCTTTTTACTTTTTATTATACTTTTATTTTTAAAATTATTATTTATAAAAAATAATTCTTTTTCTAATAGATTTTTCTATTAATTTAATTTTTATACTTTCATTTTTAAAATAATTATCATTAAATTTATAAATTATAATTATTATTAGTAATAATGAATTTTTTTTATACTGATTTTTTATTTTAAAACTAGATTATTTAATAGCCATGATCTTATATATGTTTATCATTTGTTAAAAATAATTTTTTAGTTTCAATTTCCTCTTATGATATTTAGTATTATCTTTCCTTTATTAATTAGTTTATATTTTCTAAAATAAAAGTTTATTCAATATTTTAACATTTATCTTATATGTTTAGTGTTTAATTTTGGTCTTAATTTATTGAGTATGTGCTTATATTCAAAATATTTTTTTTCTCATCTAAATTATAGTAAGGATATATATAAGGAGAAAAATTATAAATATGAGTTTCATCATTTTAAAATCGCATTTTTTAATTTTGATATAATTTATTCATTATTGAAAAAAAATTTTTTTGTTAACTTTTTTTTTTTTTTAATTAATTTTTCAAGTTTTTTTTTTTATTAATTTTTTTATTTATTTATTTGCACTATTATTTTTTTGTGAGTATTATTTAAGTTATGATTTTTTTTTTTTCAAAGTTGCTTAAGTAATATTTAAATATTTTAAATATTAATATTTTTTTAAAAAAAAAAATAAACAAAAGGAAAAGATATGTTTAAAAGTTATGAGAATTTCCATTTTTTTTAAGAAAATGTTTAATTTTAATTGAATAAATTTTTAATTTTTATATATATTTTAATATTTTTAATCATTTAAATTTTATTATGAAAAATATTTCAAATCAGTTTTTTATATATAATTTTATTAATTTGGTAAGTTTTAGTTCAAATTGCTTAAATATTTTTTGTTTTTTATTAGTTTTTTTTGTTTTAATTTTTAATATTTTAAATTCAAAATGAAAAAAACCCTCGTAATTAATTTAAATAATAAAAATCAATTTAATTAATTTAATTTTTTCATCAAAAATATAAAATATAAATATATTTATATATAAAATTAATAAATAAATATAAATTATATTTAAATTTTTTTTTTTTTTTTCTTATCATTATTAAGAATATTCTATCTTTTTTTTTTTTTTTTTTTTCATAATATTTTATATATCAAAAATATTAAAATTCATTTAAAAAATAAAAGGATATAATTTTTAATTTTTTTTTTTTTTTAATAAAAATAAAATAAATAAAAAAAAAAACAAATATAATATGAACTTAAGAAAAACAATGATTTTATAATTTTTTATAAAATAAATATTTAAAAAATTAAGTTTATTAAACTTTTACATCAAAAAAATAATAATAAATAAAAAACAAATGATAAAAAATTGCTCATCTTTCAATATAAATAATTTATAATAAAAAAAAAATAAAAAAGGAAAAGAAAAAGAGCTAAAAAATATAGAAATCATTATACTTATCCAAGTTATATTCCATAACCAAATTTGTAAGATTCTTTGAAATAATCAGCTACAGCACATAATTTTAAAGCATAAGCCATACCATGGAAATGCATTGCAGTAGAAATTTTACCTTTAGAGCTTAAAGTAGCTTTAATTTCAGAAGTACTAAATCTTTATCTAAATCCCTATATATTTTTTATTTAAAATAAAAATAAAAAATACTAAGATAGTTTCAGTAAAGTTTTCTCTTGTATTATAGCAAAGCTCACTAACAATAAAAGTACCTCTTTTAACTGCAAATTAATAACCCAAAATACTCTAACCTTAACCAGCAACATGTTAGGCAATAATACTATGACTTTTATGCACATATTTGGCACCATAACTCATAAAAATAGTACTTTATTATAAACCAAAAAGTGTTTCGAAACCAGCAAAAAGTCTATTTCCTATAGTTTACATATGTCCAAATCCTAAAGCACCGGTTGTATATTTAAAACTAGTAATACTATTATTATCTTTTTTTTATTTAATTAAAATATTAAATATATATATATATATATATATTTTTACCTTCATAATTTAAATCTACATTAACTTAAGAAACACTAGTATCAGAACCAAAAGGGAAATTAGAAGCGAAAGTAAAATTCCAATTTTTACTTAATTATTTTATTATAGCAGCATCTAATTTTCCATCTGAATCCATTCTCCCAGTTAATATAAATTTGGGTTTTCCTTATCTTTTTTTAAAAGATAAATAATAATAAAAATTTATTAAATATATATTATAATATAAATAAAATTTACTATAAATCAATATATTCACCACCTACATATTAAACTTATAAACAACAATTAGAAGTTGCAGGAGGTTTTTACATTGCCATCATAGGATTTCCTTTTGGTTCTTAGGCTTAATCTCCGGCAGAAGAATATGGGATATTCCAAATTAAAGCAAAATGGAAATTTTATGAGAGTGCGCTTGCATATTCAAATTTAAAGCCTTTAATATGTTCTACTTTTTTAGTTATTGCTCTTACATTGTTTAAAAGACTTTAGAATTGGGGAGGTTTTCTAGAATTTACTCTAGGGTCAAGTCCAAGTTATTCTGTCGATTCTTCATCCTCAACCCTATATTGACCGTCTAAATGAGCGAAATTTTCAGGGTTGTCTATTCCTGAAAGTTATTCTTGGCATTTTACAAATTTTTGACTGAATAATTAAGAAATTAATTTCATTGTGTTATTTTATTTTATACCTTTTTTTAATTTTTTTATTTTTTATTTTTTTTTTTTATTATAAATATATCTTGTTAATTATTTATATATATAAAATTTATTTTATTAAAAAATAAAAATATAAAAAATTATAATATAAATAATTGAATAAAAAATAATTATAATTTTAAATTAGAAGGAAAAAAGCATATATAAAAAAAATATAAAAATGTAAAATACATAAACATAAATTAAGTTTCCTTTTGTTTTATAATTATAAAGTTTATTTTTTTTAAAAAAAAAAGAAATATATAAAATTATTCAAATATTTTTATAATTAAAAATAAAAAGTTAATTAAAAAAATTAAATTAAATATATAAATATAATATATATATATATATATATATATATATATATATTCTTAATTTATAGATTATAATCTATTTTCAAATTAATTTTGTATCTATTTATTTTTAATTATCATTAATCATTGACATAATATATATATCAAAGTTCTAATTATATTTTTATTCTATATCTTTTTCAGCATATACAGATTTTATAATACCATCAATAAATTCTCCTGCAGTATCATTAAGTACATTATTAAATAATTTTATATAAGACTTATCTTTAACAAATTCTATTTATCTATTATTTTCGAATTTGAATTTTCTTATATTTTCAAAATTATAGAATTTTTCTGGCAATTATAAAATTTTATCGAAATTCTAGAATATATTTTTTGCTTTTTATTTGTCTAATTCTCTTATGTCTACATTATTTATTTTTTATATAAGAGGGAATCTATATATTAAAAATTCTCTCAAAAAGCTACATTTTTATAAAGGATTATTTAATATTTATATGCTTTTTAAAGAAGAAAGGACCTCCAATTTAGCTAATTATAAAAGGCTAATAATATGATTATCTTTTAGGATTATTTCTTTTAATTTTTTAAAGTTTTTTAATATATTAAGGGTTTAATTTTCAATTATAAAATCAAATAAAATATATTAAAATTAAACTTTCTCAATCAACTCATGAAATTATTAATTACTTAGTACTATTTCATATGCATTTCCATAAATAAATAAATATATATCATCTTCTATTTCAGCATGACCACCTTCTACAAGTATATTTTGAAAATATTCCTTTTTTTTGGCATTTTGTTTATCTAAAAGTTTAATTCTATGTACTTCTGTTTACCATTATTCACTAATAATTTTTAAGACTTACTCTGGGTTCACATCCTCTTCAACTTCTTCTTCTACTTATTATTATTATTATTTTTTTGATATTTCTTCTTCTTTTTTTATATTCTATTATTATTATTATTGATTTATATTTTTGTTATTTTTTTTATCTTCTAATTAGATTAAATCTGCTGTTTATTTTTCAAATTCTTTTCTAATATTTTCTACTTATTTATTATCTAAGACCTTAATATTAGGAATATTTTAAATTATAATTTTTTAATAGGAAATTAAATTTAAATTTTTAAAGAAAGGATTTCCATCAAAATTTAATTCTGACAAATATTAATTATATTTTAAATTTTTTACATTTTCAATATTTTCAATCATATTATTTTATAAAAATAACTTTTCTAATTTATTTAAATTCTAAGTATTTTCGATTTTATTAATTTAATTTATTTTCATATTCAATTCAACTAAATTAGTTAAAGAATCTAAATTTTCTAATTTAGTAATTAGATTATTCGCTAAATTTAATATTTTTAAATTCACTAGTTATTTTAGACCTTCTATTTTTAAAATCTTATTCGAATGTAAATCTAAAACTTCTAATCTATTCAAAATATCTAATTAACAAATTTAATTTATTTAATTTTTAGGTAACAAAAGTACTCTTAATTATTATAAATTATCTAAATTATTAATCTCTTTTATTTGATTATCATATAAATCTAAATAAAGTAAATTCGGTAAACTTACTAAATTCTCAATTTTTCCTAATTTATTACGTTAATAAGTTAATATTTTTAATTTTTCTTCTCCTTCTAATAAAGGTATATGGTTTAATTCTAATTAATCTAAATTTAGTTTCTCTAAATTAATATCTCTTTCACATGGGCGTCTATAACATACCCAAACTCCTTGTATTTAAGGAAGTTCGCAAAATATTATATTTCCATTTGCTTATATACGTTTTAATGAACCATGTTTTAATAAGTATCGAAATCTTTCATCTTTTTCAGTTTTTAATATTTCTTGTAAATCTAAGTTCGAATAATTTTTTTAGGAATTCGATAATCCAATGTTTGTATTTTAACTAAATATGTCTATTTTTTTTTATTTTTTTAATAAAATATATTAAATTTTTAATATTATTATTATTGTTATATTTGTAATAATTTTATTTACTTTATTCTTAATTATTTTATTTTTCTTTTTTTCCACTGTTATTTATTTCTGGTAATTTATAATAATTATTTTTAGATGTATTTTTTTAAATTAAAGAATTATTGTTTATATTTTATAATTGATTTGTATTTGATGTATTTTCGATACCATTTTTTTATATTTTTGAGCAAATAACTCCACAATTACTTGTTAATGGACGATGTTAACTATTTTTTTAAATATATTGGCATTTATATATTTCTTATTTTATTTTTTTATATGAACCTTGAAACTTAAGAATTATTATTAAATAAAACATCAATATTTTGCTTTCTATTAATATTCATATAATTATTCCTTGATTTTTATTTTTTTTAATTCTAAGTTTATATTATAATTTTTTTTTGATTTTCTACTTTTATAATTAAGAATTATACATTATCAAAATTTATTTTTTTTTAATTTTTTTTTTTTTTTCCTTTTTTTTTTATATGTATTTTTTTTATTTATTTTGTTTATATTTTAAATACAAACTACTTTATAATAATTGATTAGTTTTTTTTAAAAAAAATATATACAAAAAATAAATATATTTTAAAATAATTTAAAATTATAATAATATTTTTTTTTTTAAAAAAAAAAAATAATAATAATTTTAATTAATTTTTTTATTATAAAAAATTCTAATAAAAGTTTTAGTTATTATTAGAATTTTAAATAGATTATATTTCAAATATAGAAATTAAAGGAGATATATAAATATTAAAACTTAATTATATAATCAATATATAGTATTAATTATTTAAATTTTAATTTATTAATTAAAAAAAAAGTATAAAAAATTTATATCTTTAAAAATAATATTATTAATACATCACTTTTACTAAGATAAATCATAATGATATATACTTTTTTTTTAAATAAAATTTAAAAAAATTAATTTAGAGAAAATTTAAAAAAATAAAAATAATAAAAATATACTAAATAAAACTTTGTTTTAAAAAAATAAACTTAGTAAACAGCATTAAAGGAAATATCATATATTTTTTTTACAAAAATATATAAATGATATAATAAAAATATTTTTTATATTATAATATATTTATTATTTTAAATAAAACAATTTCAAATTATTTTATAAGGATTAATAATAAAATTAGGATCGAAAATTTATTTAAGTTATCTCATATAATCCATTTATATACTATCTTTATAAATATTCAAATAATTTTTCTTTTAAAGACCTATCCCATGTTCTGCACTAATACTTCCATTATTTTCCTTTACCCAATTATAAAGAAACATCTCATGTTCTTTTTCCAAAACCTCAACACATTTCTAATCAAAGGCAGCAAACATTAAATGCAAATTTCCATCCCCAATATGTCCACAACTAGTTGTAATAGCAATATTTTAACATCTGTCTCTCATTAATTTCGAAATATAATGAAATTTGTCTGGATTTACACTAATATCATAAGCAACTAAAGTTCCTAAGTGTGCTGCTGCCTTTTTTTTATTTTATTTTATATATTTTAAATTAATTTAAATATTTTTTTACTTCTGCAACATTTTCTCTAATACTCCATAGTTATTAATATTAAGTTTCATTTTAAGACATAACGATATTATCAATATTAAAGTTTTAACTAATTAAAGAATCGAAAAACAATTAGGATAGATATTATATATCATGATTACACTAAATCTCTACTAAAATATAATGATTATTAAAACTATTATTATTCTAAAAAGGGTCTTAAATTCTACCACAACTATCTTTAAGTACTATATCATATGTTATTTAATCTAAATATTCTAAAGCTGCTAAATCTTTTCCTAATATTTCTATATATTTTTATAAAAATATAAAATATATATAAATATTATAAAAATATAAATATATATTAAAATATATATATATATATATATATATATATATATATATATATATATTTTGTTATATTTTTTATTTAAATTTTTGAAATAAAAATAATATTATATATTTATATTATATATACATTTAGCTTATTATTTTACGGTTAATACATCATTAAAATTCTCACATTTAATAACTAATAAACTTTTTAATTAATCTACTTTGCATATATTAATATCTGCTTTAGTTATAATGCCTAAAATTCCTTCTGAACCTACAAATAATTACTTCAAATCAATTCCAGTATTATCTTTTCTATTACAATTCCTTAAATTAAGAATTTCTCCGTTTGCTAAAACAACTTCTAATCCTAGTATATGTCCCCTTAGCGGTCCATATTTTATTAAACGGATACCTCCCGCATGTGTGGATAATAAACCTCCTATTTAGCAAGATCCTTTAGCTGCTAAATCTATAGAAATCTCATAATTATGAGGTTTTAAAAAATTATTTAATTATTCCAATATACAACCAGATTCTACACTTAAAGTACTATTTTATTCGTCAAAATTAATTATTTAATTCATTTTGCTTAATGATATACATATTTCATCATGTACAGATACTGAACCTCCTACTAAACCCTATTTTTTTGTATATATTGTATTTTTTTATATTTAAAAAAAAAAGTATTTACTGTATTTCCTCCTTAAGGAACAACAGCTATTTTTTATTCATTACAATATTTCATTATTTAAGATATTTATTCGGTTGTTTTAGGAAGTAAAACTAAAGGTGTTTCTCCTTTGAAGTTTTTATTCCAATCTACGTTGAACATTTCTATATCTTTTGGGTCTGTTAGAATATTTGACTTAGGAAGAATTTTATTAAAGTAGTTTATGTTTTCGATATTTATTTTTGAATATAAATTCGAACGAGGAGGTTTTATTAAAGAGAAACAATATTTTGATTTAGAAAACATCTTATTTTATTATTAATTTTTTTTTTTTTTATGCTTAATTTTTTAAAAAAAACAAATATAGAAAATTAAAAAGTATAAATATAATAAAAAAAAAAAAATAGATAAAATATATGGTCATTAATATATTATTTTATACATAAACAAAACACAAAAATAATAAATTTATATTTTTTTTTCACATTATAAAAGGTTAGAAAAATATTAAATATATAAAATTCTTAATATATTGATATAAAATTCTTAGTATATTTATAGATTTTTAATTAATTTTATTTTCTTAAAATCTTTATATAATTTCGTAATTAAAATATGTATAAAAAAAAATTATATATATATTTCGTAATATCTATAAATAAATAATATTTTATATCATATTTAATTAATATTTTCATATTCATATTTCAAACTTTCCAATTTCATTTTAAGATTTCCTAATAATTCATTTTATTATTAAAGAAATTTTTTTTTTTCGTCAATTATAAGATCAAAATTATTTTCCTAATATGAAATAATAAAAAAATTTAAAACAAAAAATTATAAAAATTACATCATTTAATTTTTATCCATATTTAATTGATTATCTAGCTCCTGCAGTATGTGCTCTAACTTTCCCAATACTATTATTTCCTTTACTACTTGATCTATCTTAATAATTAACTTACCCACCTTCCCCTTTTTGTATTTCTTTAACTTCTTTTCTTAACTTATTAATTTCTGAAATCAATTTTACATTTTTAGTCATTAATGTTAAATTATATTCTTTATGAATTTTATTATCTTATTTTAAATATCTTTTTAGTCTTTCAACTTTTTATTATAAATGTTATTTTTATTATGCTTATTCTATTTATATTTTATCATCATTAGTAGTTTTAGAGAGATCTTAAGATACATATTTTTCTTTTAATTCTTGTATGTTTTCAGATAATTTTTAATAATCTTAAATAAACTAAACAGCCTTATATATATCATCTTTAAATCTCTTTATTTTTGTATTTTATGTTGAAATAGTATTTCTTTAATCTTTTATTTATTAATTCATTAATTCTTAAGCAGTATATAATTCATCGACGGCATTTCCTAATAAAAAATATAAATATAGATATAAATAAATATATATAAATGCATATAATAATATATAAATATATATTTATTACCTAAATAATTATTATATGAATTATATTTTTTTAATAATTTATCCATTTCATTTGTATCTTCTTTCATTCTCAAAATTTCATCTTCTCTAGGTCCTATATCTCTTTTAAGTTCTTTTATTTTATGATCAAGCACGAATTTGAACTTTTCTAAGTTTTAAGATTTTTTTTTTTATTTATATATTTATTTTTCTTAATCTCCTATAGTTTTATCTTTCTCTTAAATAATTTCTTTCTATTTCTAAATATCATAAGCATACAATTCATTCTCTTTATTTAATTTTTCCAATTATTTTTAATGTATTCTTTATTATTCATCATATTATTCACAATCTCTCTTTTTTTATTCTATATATATAAAATAAATTTATATAAATGTTAATATATATTAAATAAAATAAAAACCTATTTTCTTAGAAGTAATAGCCGCATCGCTTTTAGCTTTTTTATGTTTTTCTTTAACAAGTGCTTCATCATTTAAATTTTTATTATCTAAATTCCCAACTTCTTCCTTAGTTTCCAATTCTATTTACTTATAAGTTTCTTAATTATCGTTTTTCAATTTTTAAATATCTTTTTCAACTCTATCTCTTTAAGCCCTTTCTTCTTCTAATTTTTTCGAATATTCCTAATCTAGGTTTTAAATTTTCTAATTAAATTCACTTTCTTTATTTTTTTTCCCTTTAATTTTTATTCCTTTATAATTCATGAACTTTAGTCGTACTTTCATATCTCTCGACTTCATCCATAACTTTCCTTTAATAACTAGTATCTAAATCCTGAATTTCCTATTCTTATTTATCTTTCATAATCTTAATTTCTTCCTCATATTTTTTCTATATATCTTTTTTTTTCTCTTCTAATTATTCATAAGCCGTCTTATTATACTCCATACTAGTCTAGAGTCTTTCCTAAAGTTATTTAATCTCCTCGTCTTTCTAATTAGACTAACTATTAATATTCTAAGTATTAAACTCACTAATTTAAGATTAAAAATTATCTATTTACCCTTTCAAATCATCCAAGTCCTATCTCGTAACTAAAATTTCTTCTGAATATTTTGCATATCCCTCCTACATTTTCACCCCTCTCAAATCCCTATCTTTTATCTAAAACACCATTACACACCCATCTCTACCTCCTGTAATTAAATATCTATCATCATATGTAACTCTCAACTTTTCGATTCCCTATTCATCATGGGCTGCATAATCTTAATACTTATTATTACTTTTTGTCGTAAATAAAATACATCTAATAGCCCCTGAACTCCTCTAAGGGTCTTATATGCCACCAAAAAGCACTTTATGAGAAGAAGGGAAGACTATTTAATTTAAAATAACCTCCTGGTTAATTTTCTATGTGTTTTAACCCTAATCATAGATATATCCTAAATATAGATTCCTGTCGTTTGCACAACCGTATATCATTTAAGTTTCTATATTTAAAGCAACACAATTAAATTAAATATTTTTATTTGGATATTCGAATAATCTCGCATCTGGTTAATCCGAATCAATTCGCCATATATAAATGAAACCATCTGTACCACAAGAGGCTAATAAAGAATCGTCTTTTGACCAAGTTAAACATTTTACTTTATTTTAATGTCCTTTAAATACTAATTCAGGCTTTTTTATAAAAAAAAAATATATATATATATATGTATGTATAAATATTTAATTTTTTTTATTATAAATATATACAGGTTATTCTCCAGTATAGAATCTAAAAATTTAAATAAGTTAAGAACTTTAAGCACCATTTATAGCAGCAAAATATTAACCACCATTACTAAATCTAATCTCTCTACATTATTTAAATTAAGTAATTTCTTTATAATGTTTCTATTTATTGGAATTCGTCTATTAATGTAAACAGATATTCATCCACTTTAATTTATCTGTAAAGCAAACTACCATCTTAAAAAATAAATAAATAATTATTAATTTTTAACATTATGCTTTTTTTATTTTTTATGTAATTTTTTTTTTAAAACGCAATTGAGAAAAAAAAAAAAGGCAACAAAAAGTATGAAAAAAACCCTTTTTTTTAATTGAGTTTTGAACTTTAAAAAAAAAATTACAGAAAAAATAAAAAAAATAATGCTAAAAATATAAATATATATATAAATACATGTAATCCAGAAGGATGTAATGCCAAGCATAAAGCTTCTTCATTAAATTACCAACTTAGTTCTAATGTTTTTTCTTCAAAATTCCAAACTTTAATAGTCCTATCTTTACCACAAGTAGCAATTAAAGGTTTTCTTGCGCAAATATCAAGTCCATTAATCGCTCCTGAATGAAAATTTAAAGAAATAGCTTCTATTTATTCCTATTCATTTTAAAAAAGTTAATCTTTTTTCAATTTTATTTAATAAATGGAATTCGTGGATAGACTACAAACTAGTTTTTCCTCAGAAATAGGCGATACAGATAATCCAGTAATATAATGTTCCTTTAAATCTCCCAATTAAGAAAAAGTAGTTATTTTTTAAACTTCTTCAAAAGGATTAATATCACACCCAGTACCTTTATATACAAATATAGTTGCATCTTTAGCCCCTATAATGAACCCTTTTCCAAAACTGCTAATACATTCAATTCTAAAAGCTTATTTTTAACTATTAACAGGTGAATCTTTCAATACTTGTAAAAATTCAGCATTTTCGTCGCATAAAATAATCTCTCCATTAGCAGTACAAACAACTAGGAATATGGAATTTTCTTTCTAAAGCCATGTATGACAAGTATAATCTTATGAAAGTTCAGTTGGGGCTCCATTTAATTACTAACATTATACCTTTAGAGTTGATTTATTTTTTTTATTGTTTTCATCAGAAACGGTATCTATTTTTTTGAAACATTTAAATACCTTCTTGCCTATGCAAGTAAATAAAGAACAATCTTTTTTAGATATACTAACCTCAAAAGCATCTATAGAAGCCAAAGAAAGCTTTACCCAAGCAAGAATTTTTCCACTTCCAGATAATCCCCAATAACATACCACTATTTCTCCATCTGGAGTCGTAGGAAGATTTTTTTCTTTAGAATCTTTTTCTTTGTGTCTTTCGGTTAAATAGTTTCCTGATAAAGAAACAATATGTTTCGATTCCATATTTTAATCAGGAAAAGCAATCGAAACCCAATATTTTATCTTTTCTTCTCGAAAAACTAATTAATGCTTTTTCCTTTAAGTTATCGTATCGTATATTATTATTGATGGATTTTCATAATTGTCATCACCCTATGTTGATTATTTGCATGATTTAAATCCTACGGCTAATTAACGGTGCATAGGAGATAATTCTATACATGATATTCCTCTGTAATCGGTAGAACCGTAATAATATACTTAAATCTTGTCTTATATATGGTATTAAACAATGTTATGGCCTGCTGGGTATATTATTTTCTCTTCGTCAAGGAAGTAGATATTTGTTCTTATTTAAGAATTCATACCGAATACAAATCCTAATTGAATATGTGCGTCTGAAGTTTAGTGGAAATTTGCTAAGTGTAAATTCATTTTTATATAATTCTAATATATTTATTTTTTATAAGTTTTATATATTTTTAATTTTAATATTTTTTAAATTTTTGTTTTTTAAAAATAAATATTAAAAAAATTAATTAAATATTTGTTTAATAATTTTTATTATATGTAAAAATTAAATAATAAAAAATAAAATTATAAATAATCTAAAAGTAAATATAAAAAAAATTATTGTTAATTTATTTATAATAATTATAAATAATATATAATAAATTTATAAAGTTTATAAAAACTGAAATATATATATATAATTGAAATATTTTATTAAAAAAATACTTTACTTTAATAAAAATATTAAATTATTATTAGAATTATTTTAATAAAATAAAAATATAAAAAAATATATAAATATTAATAATATCCTAAAAATAGAAAAAAAAAATGATAAAAACATTAAATAAAATAATATATAAATAATATCATAATAAAATTATATAATTAAAAAAATTAAATTTTTTATCTAATTATCGAATTCATCTACATGAATATTAAACAAAAGAGCTTCTAAAAAAATACGAACTCCCGACAATTCATGTAAATATATAAAATAAAAAATAAAATAAATTATAATTAATAATATATAAATATATATATATATATATATATATATATATATATATATATATATATATTATATTTTTATATTTCTTTGTATATTTTATAGAGTATAGTTGCATTTACACCGGAATAAGCTAAACTTGCTGCTTTAGAAATTTAAAAATTAAAGCCTTAAACTACTGGAATTAGTTTTCGAGATTTTCAAATAAAAGCTTAAATTCATGCAGGTGGTAGAGACAAAGGTTTTTTCAAAGAACATCCATAACAGTCTGGTGTCTAAGTTGTTTTCTCACCTGAAGAAGCGGAAGAATTAGCTTCAAAAATGATTGGTAGTACATTAATAACATCTTAAACAGGTTTTAGGGGACGATATACTAGTGCAGTATTAGTATCCGAGCGTTTATTTTTACGCAAAGTAATAAATAAAAATATTTAAAATAATAATAAATAAAAGGAATTATTTATGTCTATAAGTTTAAATGCTGAAAAAGGAGGAATAAATATAATTTGTAATGATAAAGGATTTATTAGTACAGACGAGAGATAAAATAAAACTACAAAGTAACATTTTGTGACATTATAGGATGGTATAAATAAAGAAAAAATGTAATAAATTATTGAATCATTTAATTTAGACAAAACTTATAATGAATAATTAAAAAATATAGTAGGTTAATTATTCTAGTGTTTTTTATAGAACGATGCTACATATTTAGAAGTTAAACCTTTGGGATTAACTATAGATGGATAATTGATTATTTGTGATTAGAAAATTTAAATTGATGATAATTCTGCTTTTAGATAAATCGAATTAGCCTCTATAGAAGATATTAGATAAGTATTTTTAAATATTTTAAATTTTTTATAATTATGTTAATTATAAGAAAGATGAAAAAGAAATTATTGCTTAAAAAAATTTCCTTAATTATATTGCTTTAGACGGAAATATTGGATCTATGGTAAATGGAGCAGGTCTTGCAATGACTACAATGGACTTAATTGCTTAAAGAAATGGAAGTCCTGCAAATTTTTTAGATTGTGGAGGTACAGCTGATTCTTAATAAATAATAGCAGCTTTAAAAATACTTGCTAATGATAAAAATATAGAATCTATATTTATTAATATTCATGCAGGTATAACTTCATGTGATATTATCGCAATGGCTATTATTAAAGCCCTTTCTGAAGTTGGAATAAAAAAACCTATTGTCTTGAGATTAAAAGGAAAAAACTTTGAATAAGTAAGTAAATATATATATATATATATATATAAATATATATATATATATACAAATATATAATATATATTTATATAATTTTTTTTTTATATTTTAAAAAGGCAAAATAAATTATTTATGATTGCGGTTTTAATATTTTAGTAACTGAAGATTTGATTGAAGCTACTGATAAAGTTATTAAAACTGCATAAATTTTAAGAATGGCTAGAGAAGCGAAAATTAATATTAATCTTTTAAGTTGATTTTTTTTCAATTTGATTTTATTTTAAAAATAAATTATTATTATTATTTTTTAATTATAAAAATATAATAAAACTTAAAACAAATTAAAATATTTTATTTAATATTTATACTTTATTGTTTATAAAAAAAAAAAATTAAAAAAAAAAAAAAAAAAAAAAATTATTTTTAAAAAATATTATTTATATATTACTATAATTTAATTATAAATCAAAATATATTTTTTATTTAAATTAAAAGCAATATATTTTATTTTTATTAAATCATAGAATATTGTTTATATATTTAATAAGTTTATTATTTGTACTATTAATTAATATAATTAAAAATGAAAATGAAATTCTATTGATAAACAATATATTTTCTATAGCATAAATTTAATAAATGTTTAAAATTATATAAATCAAATAATTGTATATTAATAAAAATTTAATAATAGATATTAAATAATAATTTTAATAATAAAGAAAGTTTTTAAATATATTTTATTTAATTATTTTTATTTTAAACTAACTATATAAAAGTAATAATACATATCAAAAGTAAATTTTTTAAACTAATTAAATTTAAAAATTTCATATAATTAAATTAAAAAAATAAATATTTTTTTTTTTTTTAATATTTATAAATATAAAAATTAAATTGTTATATTAAATTTATTGAAAATAAATTAACTAAATAGTTAATTATAATAATGAAAATATTTATTTTTTTGTTAATTTAAAAAAAATGAGAATAATTACATATAATTATAAAAAAAAGTATATAATATTTAGAATATATTATAAAAAATTAATTTTTATATATAAAATATAGTATAAATGTATAAGTATATATATATATATATATATATATATATATATATAATATTTATAATATTTATAAGATAAATAAAATATATAAGATATATATAATATATTAAAAATTTATATTATTTTAGAAATATTAGATAAATAAGATTTAAAAGATTTATAATATATATAAGATTTATAACATATATAATATGTTTAAGATTAATGCAAAATTTATAATTTTTAATATACATAATAAATATTAGAAATATAAAAAACCTATGTATATAAATTATATATATAATATATTTACCATATATATTTTACTTAACATTTAAATATTTTTTATAATCATTTTTATAAATTTATAAATATATTTAAATATTAATACTTTATTTTTTAACTTTTATAAAATTTATATATATAAATTATACTTAATTTTTTTTAATTATGTATATATAATACATAATATATCATTTTTCTGACGAATATTTTTTGATTTCTTCTTATATTTTTTTTCTATAATTTTATCATATTCATTTTTTTATTGATTTTATAGTTATTCAATTTACTTTTGTAGTTCTTTTTCTTCTATTTATTCCTTTTCATTTGTAATTCTTTAGAAATTTTTTAAATTTTCAATATTGCCTTATAAAATGTTTAACAATAAATTATAATTCTCTATAACAGTAATTTTTTTGTTTCCATATATTAGCAAAGTAAATATATTATTTTTATTTTATATCTTTATATCTTAATTTTTTTCATCTTTATTTATATCATTACTTTCTTAATTATTATTCTAGTCAATAATAAATTTTATTTAAATATTTTTATGAGCACAAATCGCATTTTATTTATCAGTATAATATTTTGAATGTATATATGGATGAAATTATACTTCATTTATATTTAAAATTTTCATATTTTAAATAGGGACTATCAATAAGTTTTATTATCTACATAATTATATCATAACATTATTTTTAAGTGGATCATAATATATTTATTCTACAATTTTTGATATTAGCTTTCTTCTTGAAAATAATCCTTTAATCAATAAACATCCTAAAATAAAAGGAAATGTTGAAAATAATGTATATTAATATGTAAGTGCGGTAATCGAAAATAATACAGGAACTGAAATTTTTATATTTTATATATTGTCTTTAAAATATTAATACTCGAAATTGTTTTTTAATATTATTAGAGATTCATATTTATAATTTTAGACTGTTTAATTATTAACTTTCAATAAATAGTCGAAATAATTTATATTTGTGAAATTTCGTGTTTGATATAAATTTAATTATTTAAGAACTTGCTTTTAATATAATCGGTTCATTTTTTTATTGTTAATAATATAATTTTTTATTATTTAAATAAAAATATCTTATAAAAAAAAAATTGAAAAAATATAAATGAAAACATATGATATATAAATTTATTATAAAAATATATAAATTAAATATTTATTTTTAATAAAAAATTAATATATATAAGTATCTTTTTTTAATTTTATTTTCATTTTTTTTGAATAAATAATTAAATATTTATATTTAATACTTTTATGAAAATAATTTTTATAAATTTTACTTATTAAATAATTACATTAAACTAATTTATAATAAATAGATATTATAAATAAATTATTTAATAATTTTAAAATTTATTAATTTTAATTTATATAAAATATTAATTAAAAGAAAAAATATTAATCATCAAACATTTAGTATATTCTAAAAATACAAAATAAAATATATTTTTAATAAATTTAAAAATATGGTTTTTGTAATATTTTGAAATTTAATTTTATATATAATTTATAAGTGGTGAGACTCCTAAATATTTCAAATTAATAATTTGATTTAAGTTTATTTTTAATAATATTATTTAGAAAAATTCTATTTTATAAACCATATATATTTTGAAAATAACATATTCTTGTTTCCTTGAAAAAGTTTAAGATATAAATTTATTTTTTAAGTATTTATATTCATTATTTTATTTATTTTCATTGATATTTTTAATGTAAATTTATATTATTTATATAAAAAAAACAATATATACTTTTTTTATAAATATTTTTTTATAAATATTAAGATTAAATAAAAGTAGAAAATATATAATTTTTTTATAAGACGATAAATCAAATACATCAATATAGTTTGTTCTTTATATTAAATAAATTATCAATTACATAATAAAAAATTGAATAAAATTTTTTATAAATATAATTGTAAATATAATATAAATATAACTTATTAGAATTTTTTTTTAAAGAAAAATAAAAATAATAATTATAAATAAAATAGCTTTTTTATTCTAAATAAAAAAATTGATTATATAATAAAAATAATTATTTTTAAAAGTTTTATATTATTATATATATTATTAATTAATTTGAATGTATTAATAAAATATATTTTTTCTAATATATTTTTATTTTAATTTTAAAAAAGGATTTTTATATTTTATTTTTTTTAAATTAAATTAAAAATTAATAATTTATTGCATATGATGATAATAAAAATTAAAAGAAAATAATATATATATATATTGATATATTAAAAATATATATGTTTGTTTTATAAATAAATATGACAGAAAAAAAAATTAAATATATGTAAATAATTTTATTCAAAATACATAAATTATAAGAAATATATATTTATAT